GAACAGCGTCCCCTCCGCCCGAGTCTTCCCCTCCTCCCTTCTTTCCCCCCCCCCTCTTTGACCACCGCGCGGACGTGCGCAGTGCGCGAAGGGAAAGACATCCATCAGTTGATCGGGGAGAGAGGGGCACGTCTATCCAGTCAGAGACAGTTCTGAGCTGTTGAGGTGGGGCCTCAGTCTCAACCCAGAAAAAGGAGGCACGGACAGTGTCTTGTTCTATGGCACCGGACCCAGACCACTTCACATCCGCCTTCCTTCGAACCAAAAGCAATGGGTGAATGGATGGATGGATACGAAGCGACACGTACATCAACATTCGACCATATGCAAATGGGCAAATGGATACAGGCCCCGAGCACTGGTGCATGCCCTTTCACTCTAAGCCTGAACAAGTCTGCGAAGGACCACTGCAGTAAATTTACATCACACGCGGTGTGGCTGGTTATTACATAGTACGAGTACTTGAGCACCTAGTACCGGTAACTAGGTAGGTACCTCCTAGTAAGGTAGGTCAGGGAATCTGAACCAGCCATTGGCTCCTCTCTCCCGGCCGAAGCCGTCCCGAGGCTGTGGTTCCAGACACGAGGGGAGAGCAGCCGTCTCAGGTGGCAGTCACGAGTGAGAGATGCCACTGTACTGTACATACTACCACTCCGTACTATGTGTCTTCACTCACCTTCATATAAAAGGCCTATGCACCGCTCACTCAAAGAGATATTCGCGTCCAGCTAGTCATAATAGTCAGAAGTAAACGCTCAGTGATGCAACTTGCGACCGCGGAACAGGTCTCGTAAATCCAGCATAACGACTTGTCAATCGCTACCATACCGCGAGTCTTGCAGCTGCCAGCTGCCAGCTGCCAGCTGCACGCAATGTATGCGTTATACCAATCCCCGTTAGGAGAGTCTCCGGAAGCAGTCGCCTTTTCCGCAGGATAGTCGTTTCTTTAGTTGTTGCTCACCCACGAGCTGACATCTTCTGCCTCCCCGGCACTGGGAGAAAAGGCCCGTTGTCAGTTCTTTCGAGGCTACAGACAAGAAGAGTTACCACGATCCAAATTTATCAAGAGGCAATTTTATTTATCAAAGGTGAAAAAGAGAACCCTAGCAATAGATTCGGGGAAGCATGGGGCCTTGTTGCTGGCTTGTTGCTGGCCTACCGCCTTCGGAATCGTACACAGTAAAATGGATCTGTCAACCGAAACTCACTTCGAAGATCCCCGAACCCCAGATCTCGCTTGCCTAGTCGAGTGCAGGATAAACATTAAATAATGGCGACTCAACAGCTAAGTTATGGGGGCCGCAACGCGAAGGCTATATACGATCGAAAGAGTCTAGTCGATTCCAGGTCCGCTGGTTTCCCCATGATTGAATTGAGTTTCGACAAGCACGCGATCGTCTGCTCACCCGCTTTGTCGGGTCGTTCCCAGCGGAGCTGCCGAACCCATCACAGTCCTGTGATCCATCATCGCCTGTCTCTGGCCTCAGTCTACAACTCTTATGATGCAATCTAACCCCCCGCTTAAAACTTCAGTGACCTGGTTGTGGCCTTAAGCTTCCAACCAGGTGCCTCGGGAAGTCGACTCGGGCGGGCAGAGATCCCCATCTCTCATCGATAACAAATAGCACCACAGAAACCCCGTAGCTCTGGAGCTGCTAGGGGATCTCCCGCGAAGGTTTTCGTGACTGTCCAATATAAACTCTAGGAACGACATCCCCTGAATCCTGACAAAGTTACCGATGATTCTAGTCGACCCAGCTCGAAACACATTGATGGGTCGACAAGGCATTATCGGGAGTTCTGGCTGTTTCCTTGCTCCCCGGCTGTACTGTACAGTAAGTACCTAAGCCCAAGGTGATCGTCATTGTGGGGGACGACCTGTCGCCTCTTTGCCGCTTGGGTGTTCCCTTCCAGTTTCCCTTCCTTCCCACCTCACATCTGTCTCCACGTACTTCGTATCCATCGTGGCAGAGATGTCATGGCCCGTTACGAATGAAGGGAGAGAGAATTCTCCGGTCGACTGACTCAAGCTGCGCATTCATCTTACCTTGGGCATTCTTGTGGTGAGGACTTCTTCCTGAGTTTCTGCAAAGATCCCAATGGAGGCTGACTGGAAGTTCTCACCGATCCAGTTGGATGGCAAAGAAGTCGTGGGCATCCCAGAAAGCCGCCATCCGAAGATAAAGAGGGGTGATGTCCCTGACCCAGCTAATTGAAGACTACGGACGCCTCATGCAAAGGCCTTCACAAGCAACATTCCCTCTCCTCTGATCTACATCATTGTTGACCAAAAGGACATGGTGATCGGACATCCATGATGCGAGGTGGAAGTTGGCTGGCGCACAGTCCCCTTCGCGCTCTCCCGGTAACGAATCGCGGTCTACTTGTTAGTCGTTACAGGTCACCCTCCCCCCCCCTCCCCAATCGTTGCGTTGTCACCCACCGCTGAGCGGATTTCTGGGAGCGAACAACGCCGCCGCTGTCTCTTCGTCACCATGGGTCGAACGCTCAGTGGAGTTGTTTGACTAAGGAGCCAGGCTGAAAATTCCTGGAGACTCAATCAGGACAAGCAAGCACTTGAAGGACCTAGCATATATGAATCGCTCCGGTGACGAGCCACCGCCAAAGGCAATCCTCAGTCATCCCTCAGCTACCCGGCGTGGCGCCTTGGTTTGTCTCTCTACCTGCGTTGATCAGGCTGGTGGGAATACAGGCAGACACTGGTCGGCGGCGCTGTTGGTCGCAGCCTGAGGCTGCGGCTTAGGAGTGCGTTTGCCTGTTTGGGACAGTCAGACTCCGTCCCGAACGAAGGAATAGAGTAGCCTGTCCATTCGATGGGTAGCATGGATGGATTCAATGCACTGTACATCAAATGGAGAGACCTAATTCTCCAGACCCTCTTTCTGGGACCAATCTGAGGCCTTCCCGCGGCTACGCCATGCAATAATGACCCGTCCTTCTTTGCGCCGGAGATCTGAGTCCTTGGCGGCCGTTGCTAGTCTCACCCTTCGGTTCGACTGAGTTGTTCTCTCATTCGATTGATTAATCAAATATGGAGGAGGGTCGGTCGATCAACCCAACACTACTCAGTAGTGAGTATGTCTCCCAAATACTGAAGTTGCAATGGACAATAGACGGTGACAAAATACTCGGACATCACCATTCCCTCTTCATATAATTTACTATGTGTGAGCTAGTAAATTAGAAGACGGGTCGTCATTAAATTTGTGATGTAACTACTAGTAATCCTGGTGAGGTTTCGGGATTGCGTTGCGAAGCATGACGATGGATTTTTTTCTGGGCAGTGGCTGAGGCAAGTGACAGTGACGGGTAATGACTACTTGAATACAGCACAGAGTAGTCTAGAGTAGTGAGTAAGTTACGGTAGGTGGTAGGCTATGAGTAGGTGATAATTGTCCCATCTTCAGAATTGAGCAGGAGTGAGAAATAGTGAGTAGCAGTAGTTACAGCGGTAGCATCAGCAGCAGGAGAGCAGCAGGCTCAATGACCGGTGCACATCAATTCTTCGTCAGGGGCGGAGCCGTGGTTGGATGGGCTGGGCTCCACCCGCTGCAGCCAACCCCTCAATCAATCCGTCCGTGGATGTTCACGGGCCAAGCGCTGTTAGCTTAGCGAGAGGGGAATGGATCATGGATGAGGAAGTGACTGGACTCGACTGGACTGGACAGCCAGAATGACTGACTGACAGATAGACATCATGGGATGGGATGGTCATCCGAAGAGAGAGAGCGAGATGGCCCGATGCTTCACAATAAATTCCTCCGATGAATGATTGATTGCTTTCTTACTCCCATCATCCCATCATCCCACCATCATTCCAAGAAAGATCCGGTGACCTGCTCGGACACGATACAAGAAAATCACTCCATGCGCGCTCTCTCTCTCTCTCTCTCTCTCTCTCTCTCTCTCTCTGTCTGCCTGCCAGGCGGCTCACACGCTCTCCCATACTATACAGCACCTACCAGCAATTAGTTACCTAGTAGTTACCCGAAGACACAGCCTCCCCCTCCTCTGCTAGGGCCTTTCTCCCAGGCCGATCCTCTACGCGCTAGGTCTATCGGTTTAATTTGATCCTCATCGTCCCGCAAGTGATGCTAGCTAGTTACTGCTACTGGAGATATACTTGGACTCTAGGATTCGAGGAGCAGCGGGTGGGTTAGGGAAGGCCTTAGGAGGATCTCATCTTAATATAATCAAATATAACTAGTACTCATATATTATGGATACCCCAGTTTAAGAAGCTCCACCTTTGGCTCCCATGGTACAGGGACGAAGACTATTGCTACACTAGATCTACAACGATGGGCTAGAGTGAAGTGGGATGGATGGATGTGTGACTGGTACAGTACTGTACGCCGTAGAAATTGCGACCATCTACCTACTATACCTGGTTCAATTGATCTGACAGCACTGGCTGACGGTCCTCCCAGCAGTAAATTAATCACCAGCTACTGAGTACATTTAGGTACTCACTCATACTCCGAGTACGGTGGTAATTTGATCGAGTCTCATTGGATCTGCGACTTGTAAACGACGTATCCCCCCAAATTTACCTACTCCACGTTACTCCTTCGAGATTCCTTTTTAAAGTCCGTCCTAGGCCCCTTCCCGAGTCTATCCGCCTTTTCCATCGTCCATCACCATTATCACCATTATCATTTTCGATCTTTTTTCTCCCTTCCCAGTGTCCATCACTCGGGTACCTGCCATTAACGCCTCTCGTCTCTCTGGGTCTCATTTAGTTCTTGTCGCATCCTTCGTTTTATCTTCCTCTAACGATCCACTCTTCTTCCTTTTCGTGTAGTTTAATTCTCGCACTGTTCTGCTAGTCAACTCGTGCGCCCTCGTTGCTATCCGTTGTGTCGGGCGAGGCTCGTTGTTTCGTGTTTTGCATCACTCGGAACACGGGGAAGACAAGCAGCAGGTGGGTGGAAGCAAGATAGTTGCGCACAAGGATATCGAACGTCAAAATTAGCTGCTTCAGCTAAGGTTGTGTCCCCCAAGGAGCGAGGTGAAACGGGGTACCTGCTTTTCCCATCCCCGCCGAGTTTGCCTCAATTTCTTCAGTAAGTCAAATCAGTCCGTCAGTCATTCAGTCTCCCCTGAACCAGGATTGAGGACTATGAATTTCCCTTGCCCTCCACTTGCTCGAACTTCCATCCTCTACGCATCATCATTATGTATGGGTTTTGAGTTGAGTTCCTGATTTGGCTGTTATGATCGTTTTTATTGAAGTTGTTATTTTTTTTGTCTATTATTATTATTATTATTATCATTATTTTTACTTCATCTCCCCTTTAAACATCCTCGTGGATGATAATGTCATTAGTGAAAGTCGTGTGTCATCTATTTCATGGTTCCATACTTCCTCCCCAGATGGTATTCTCACTCCTAGACTACTGTCTGCTCTTGCTCTGCTCGATGTTTCTCTCTCTCTCTCTCTCTCTTCCCCTCTGCCTCTCTTGCTCTCCCTCTCTCCCACTGTTCCTTCGCGGCTACTCTGGTTCTCACTTTTCGGTCCATGTAATTTCTACCCAGCCTCATTTTCTCTGGATCCCGTCTCTATTTTTGGTTGTATGAATCATTCAAGTCCTTCCCTTTCCATCGCTGGGGTGGGTTTGCCGTCTAGACTGTCGGGCCTTACCGTCTGGTCTTCGGGGGAGGGAATGAGAGAGGAGCCTGGGAAGAGGAGCAGTTGATGGACCCGCGATGGGCTTCATGGGCCGGGGAGATCCACTGTTGCCAGTCCTCTGGCGGGCTCGTCCTCCTCCTTGGGATCACTAGTTGCACCCACCCCATCCGTCCTTCGTCTCTCCCTCTTTGGTTCTGCTCGGACCTACCAGTCTGGGTCGCCCCCCTCTCTTCCATTTCCCCCCGCTGCATACGCCGGTCGCTCGCTCTCAATGACTATTCTGAGAGTAGAGCGAGCCTGCGCGCGAGGGGAAATGGAAAGAGATTGGGGGAGAGAGGGAAATCTCTCCGGGCTATGGAGACCACTCACTACCTTACAATCCACCGTCCACTGTCCACAACTGTCCTTCCTATCTGTCTGTCTCTTGACTCTTTTAGCAAGAGTAAGACCCCGTCTGGCCGCCGTTTGGCGTTCCCTGCAACACCCGCTCCATACCCGGCTCTGGTCTAGTCTGACTGGCCTTTCCACCCATTCATTATTATTATTATTGCTTGCGATGTTTCCTGGTTTTTCTGATCACCAGGAAGGGGGTGCCGCCTCGATCTTTTCTTATTTTTCTTATTTTTAATTATCCTTCTCGTCGTTTTTTTTCTACTTTTTTTTTTTTTTTTTTTTTTTAATATTTTATCTCACTCCCATTTATTTTTTTGGGCTGAAGGGGGAAAATGAAATTTTTACCCTTCCTATTCTCAATTAAAATAATCGTGGATGATTTTGATTTTATTTTTTTTTTTCCCACTTGACTTTTCTTACCTTTAATCTCTTTCTCTTGGTTCATCCCCCCATAGCCATTACTAAAGCGCTACTCTAAAGAGAGAAGGGGAAACACCAGAGGCAGAGCAAGAGCAAAGCAAAGCAGAGCAGAGCAGAGCAGAGCAGAAGCAGATCTTCTTACTATACCGTACTGGGAGAATCCACCAGTGAATCTGCCAATATTATATCTTTCCCCCGTCTGGGTTACTTTAATTCTATGTCTCTCCCCTGCTGTGATCATCATTATTATTATCATTATCATCATCATCACCATCACCATCACCACCACCACCATCACCAGCGCTCATCTCTATACTACCAAACTACCTCTACTTATACTTGTTTGGTTGTGTTTTAATCTACCTTCCTGTTCTTGTGCTACTAGAGTTGTACGTCTCTTGTCCCTTCTTCCTACCATCGGAACTCAACTACTTCCCCTCCTCACCTTCCACGGAGCATCTGGAACACTTTTTATTCTTGATCTTTATTTGCACGTTCGGCATATTCATGAACATTTTGTTTCATATGGCACCGGTGACCGTTGTGAACTTCAGTGTGGATAGATTGGCTTACATACCTGCTCTGAAACAGGCCTTGCACAGCACAGCAGCAGCAGCAGCTCCTCCAGTGTAAGCTGAGCTGGACTCTCTCTTCGTCTTCGTTTTATCCTGATCAATTTACTCTTCTTTATTTTGTGTGTGTGTGGGTGTGTGTGGGTGTGTTGTGTGCTTCCTTTGCCCTTTTCTCTACTCACACCCTCCCTCTGATCGCTTGATCGCTTGAGCGCTTGATCGCCCATCAATTGAGTTCACCATTCAACCTTGGACCAAGCGACTTAACCTTCCTGTCAAAACGGGCTTCGACTTGCCAGCAGAAAGCTTGGGAATTGCCGCAGCTTGGACTTGGTCAGGTTGGAGAGTCAACCTAGTCAACCTACCTAGTCAACCTACTCCTCGATCCGATCGTTATCCGTGGAACCGCAGCTCCAGTCGACCCAGAAAGTCACTAGGGCCAGACGCTTGCTCTCTCCAGATTCCCACCTTTTTCCACCCTTTCCACCCTTTCCACCTTTCTTTTACGAGGAGTGATTTGAGAAAGGACGGGCCCGTGCTCGCTGTCGATCCGGGTCACTCAAGTCTGGTGGTCCTTAAACTCAAGAAAGAGGGGGATTTTAAACTTGCGCCATCGACCCTTTTCTACGGTTCGCCCGTCGACTGTGAGCTCTTTTCGACTCTCGACTTGTCATTCTCTCCGACTCTTTCCTTTCCTTCTTTGCCCACCAACTGCAAACTGCTTCTACTCTCCCCTCCACCAACTCCCACCACTGCCACCATTCCCCCCGCCTACTCTTCCCTAAAGGTTAATTTCGCCTCCCCCTCCCTGTTTCCTGGCGCTATTACCTTGAAGCTTTGCCATTTTCTGCTTGTGTGTGTGTCTCGCATACAAGGCAAGACAAGACATCAAAGAGTGGAAGCGAGCACAAAGTCCCGAGCGAGTCTTTTGGCAGCTGTTATCCCGAGTTCGTTCCTTTTTTACACTTCAATCTCCTCACGGCTGTTCGTTCCTTTTGTGCTTTGGGAAACCCCGAATTTCCAGTGAGAACATCCCGGTCGACCTAGCCGTGTTGCTGGGAAACCTTGATCTTCGGTGGCCTTAACTTTGATCCGATTTACCTCTTGGACCCCTTTTAACTAGGTTCGAACCTTCAAACAAAGGCAAACAATGGTCAACGGCACCACCACGGTGTTGGAGCCCACCTTTATGGGATATGTTGCAACAACACAGGATGCGCTGATTCTGTTCGAAGCCTGCCTCACAGGCGTCCTGCACCATGTCCCTCGTCGCCCTCACGATCGGGAACGGAGCCATCTCGTTCGCAGCGGTAGCGTCTTCATCTACGAGGAGAATTCGTCGGGGATCAAGCGATGGACGGACGGGGTGACATGGAGTCCTAGTCGGATCCTGGGCAACTTCCTGGTGTACCGAGAGCTGGAGAAGCCCTTCCCGCCAGGCGAGAAGAAGAGAGCGATGAAGAAGGCCAATCGACGCCCGGTGCCGTCGACGCGACCGGGGGAGCCGTATCCGCGACAGGATAGTAACGGAGGCTATTCTCCTTCCTCGACAACCGGGCCTTTTGGCGATAGACCGCATCAGTCCGACGTGGAACGGGCGCTGGTGGGCTCGCTGGTGGATTCGTACGGGTTTAAGGATTCGGGGTTGGTTAAGAAGACGATGAGCGTAACGGTCTCGGGAGTGACGCATCACCTGGTGTCGTATTACAGCGTGGAGGATGTGATCCGAGGGCTGCTGAACCCGCCATCGATGGTCGAATCGCTGAGATATATCCGGCCCCGTGCGGAACTAACGCAGAAGCAAAGCTTCCGGGCCCCCATCGATGATTTGGAAACAGGAGGGCTGGAGAATCCGAATGACCCGTCGCATGCGCTCTACGGTTACCGACCTCACCTGGTTGCGCCTCCAGGCTATGCGATGACGAACTCTCATCCCGAATTCTACATGCACGCGGGGCCCTATGCGGCGACTCATCCGCCCCAGTCCACGCCAATACCGGGATACTCGATGGGAGGATCGATTCCGGCACAATCCGCCCCCAATCCATATCTGCCTGCACCATCCGCCCCTACTCAAATCCCGCAGAAACCGGAGGACTACACGCAGTTCCGACAGCCTTCGTATGGCACCAGTTTTGACGCGCTCGGCCACAACCCTCTATCCTCGTCAATTCCGTCAGTTCTCAACACGGCCATGCCTAGTTCCCTGAGCGACCGCAACCGATCCCATTCCGACCACAGCCCGTCCGCTTACCGCAACTCATCGATATCGTCACGCAGCGTGGCCACGGACGCAACATCGCCGATCGATCCCTCGACTCCTGCTACATACTCGCGGGGCGGGAGTTTCAGTCTGGGACCGCTTGACGGGTCGCACCAGCATCTGGAACAGCGGGGGCTGGGGGGATTCGATCCGGGCATTTCACGTCGGGAGTCGGGCCCTATCCCTACGCCTTATTACACGGGCGGGGACCGACATCAGTATTACGTGGGGGCCACGGCCCCGGGCGCACACGCCGGGTATCCAGTGTCGACGTGGACCACGGCAGCACCCGCGCAACCTCAGATCTGAGTTTTCTTTCGTCTTGTCTCATGTTGTATTCGCTCGTTTAGCCTTCACTTCTCCCTCACCCACTTTTTTTCTATACGGTTTTTTTATTCTCCAGACGGGCGGCAATTTGGGAATAGACTATGCATATATGCTGTGGATGATTACCCGGATGAAGAAATCGCTCTAGAGGAGGTATGGGCGGCTTTTTTTTTTTTCTTTTCTTTCTGATTCCTTTGACTACGATGATACGATGCAGATCAAAATACCTATCTCGTCTTTCTTTTCACTTGTTCACTGGGGTTTTTTGATTTTCTGCGGGGGTTTTCTTCTTTCATGTGGTCATGAGCAATGGGTTGGCTTGGGTGGCATGGTCCAGGGGCGGCTATCTGAATTCATTCTTTGCTTGTTGCTATTGCTATTGTTTTTTGCTGTTGCTGTTGCTGTTGCTGGTTTGATGATGACCAGGCTATCATATTCTTAGTGTTACATGTTACATAAGGGCCAAGGGGTCGTGTACATTGAACCGCAATGATAGGTGCTATCAGCTTGGATTGGTTGTAGATGAATTAGTATTTGCATGTCTAGTTGGTGGTCTGTTCACTTTCCTGGGCACTTCCAAGTTTCACACATATAGTGTGCCGAGAGATATCTATGTTATGTGATAACAGTCATTGTCTTTCATTTCTTCTTTTTGCTAAGTTCTTACAGGCTTCCTGGTTCTTTTGGTTGCATCCAACCACAGTTGGACCCGATCCCTCGAATGATCGATCTCCCTTCGAGCCAGCCAGCTATTCTCAGGGCTCCTCCCCCCATTACCTAGGCGGAGACGGAGTGGCCGTCAGAGCAATCAGCGGAGACCCGATACTACGGAGGGTGACCACACTCAGCGACGGAGTGAGCGGATCCAGCCGATCGATGAGCGGCGAGATCGCATCCGGGCCCTCCTCTTCGTCCCTCAGGAAGATGGTCGTCCGCTCCGGACTCAGCGTGGCCATGCCCGCCCAGAGCGCCCCGATGCCGATGCCAATGCCGCCGCCGTTGGGCCCGGGGGACCCGGCCATCGACGGCGGCGGCGGTCGCGGATACGGTGGCGATGCGCATTGCCGGTCTTCCAGAGTCGTGTCTTCCTCGGGGAACATACTGGGTAGAGGATGATGATCATGGGCGGCGGTTTCCGGTTCCGGGGATTCATCTGATGCAGCGTTCGCATTGGCATTGACCCCCATGACTCCCGGAGATGGGGACTGGGCTTGAGCCACGCCTGCTACACTACGATCCTGCCTACACGCATCTTCAATCCCTTTCCCGTCTGCATCACGCCCACAACTGGGAGTGGAAGTAGAGCTAGGACTAGGACTAGGACTACGAGGCCAACAAACAAACTCCTCCATCAACCGCTCCACCAACCCCTCCTCCACGGGGGGAATCTGTTGCCCCCACCACCGCAACATCTCCGCTTGCCTGGGGTCCGTGAGATCGAGCGTCGTCGTCGTCGTCGTCGGTGTTGTTGTCCCTGGGTGGTGCTGCGAATGCTGCCCGTGCTGGGCCAGCGGGAATCCATACCGCACCATCTCCGCGTGGCCGCCGCCGCTTCCCACCACCCTGGTGATATCCTCGGGATCTTCTGCGGGACCCCTTACCTCGCGATACACCCGCACATACCGAGTTCCGTAGTAGATGGCCCCGAACCCCGTCGGGGCGGTAGGGTGCTGCCGTCGGCGGTGTCGGAAGGTGCGGATGAGGGAATGTTCCTGAGAGGGCCAGGGTATGGGCGTGTTGGGGAGGGGGAGGGTGGGGATGAGGAGGGTGGTGATTGTTGCTGTTGGGGTTGTGGGGGAGGAGTTTGGGGGGAGGAGGAGGTGGTGGTGGTGGTGGTGGCCCGGGGTTGGGGTTGGGGTTGGGGTTGGGGGCATATTTGGGGGTGGTTGTTTTTGGTGGTGTTGCTTGGGTTTGTTTGGATGGATATGATGAACGGTGGGTGGTGGAGGTGGTGTCTTTTATATGGGTTTACGTTGGGGGAATGGGATGGGGGCTTTGATTCTTTGGGGGAGGTTGTACTCTGCATAGGGAGATTGTGGCCATGATGTGTATATGGCCAAGAAGATAGAGGATGTTTAGGTGGTAAGTTACTCTAGGTGGATGGGATTTTGCCTGGGTTGTTTGGTCTTTGAGATAGGGAAGTCTATCGGTCTTTGTGGTTGCGGTCGAGGGACGGTGGATCTCCGGTGTTATCTTTATGTTCTTGCACTCAGTAGTAGTACGGAGTACCTAGTAAGGTGGTTGAGGATATCCATTTAGATCGGATGTTGTGGTTGTAGACTGCTCTCCACCATGATCAGACTGCAGGGGGAGTCTAGATCTCCCGCCTACCCAGTACCATACCACAATAGATCCATCCAACGAGTCAGGTCCATCGATCAATCTCCAGTCGAATCGGAAATACCGAGTAGGTACAGTACAGACTCAGCCCAGTAACTTATCATGGATGAATCGAATCAACGGTGGATCCGAACCAATTCCCAGAACAGGCAGGTCGATTTTCCAACTTGGAACTTTAGCTGTGCTGCGCTACAACTTGTTCTCTGATCCACTTTGCTAGTCTCCACCCGTGCGCAGTGGAGAATCTGCTCTTCGCTAGCCAGGCAGGAGGATGTTGGCCAGTTATCGAGCATTGGATTACTCATTACTCAGGGTGCTGAGTGAGCGGGTGTTTCTTTAGTGGTAACTATTTCGGGTTGATGATACTCTGTCAGAGGGAGGCCCGTACTGTGGATCTTGGGTGATAGCATGATCTTGTTGGTTCGGGAGGTGGGCTTGGATTTTTGGTGATGGGGTGAGAAGCATAGACTGCTACGTACTGCTACGTACTTTCTTCGGGCGCATGCTGTGGCTATCAACTTCTGGTGGCTTGCGAAGGCGCTATGATCGCTGTTGTAGTTGCAGGTTATTGTTGGTGAGGGTCGGGCTTCAGATCTTGAACTTTTTGTGTAGGGGTACAGAGTATTATGCGTGCAGTGACTCAATCCCCTAGAAACTTGCATAACAGCCCGAGGTACATCTTATGTCATATACGATCTATCATTATGAGTGAATGCTCCGTCTATTCAACTCCATGAGCCACACATCCCAGAGACAAACCCCCATGATCCCAAATCCCACTCAAGACCCAACCTTCCGTCGTAGGCGCGACGCCGCTGTTGGCGAGGGCGAAGCCCTATCCCGCCCGCGGTTCGAATCTGCCGCTGCGTGGTGCTGGGTTTGGGAAGGTGAAAGAAAGGGGGGTCTGGGGGTTCTCCCCCAGGACGCTGCCCTAAAACAATAGTCTGGGTATATCATGCTGTTCAATGTTGGGACGAACAAGGCCTCCCAAATGCAAACTTAACTAGCCACTCTGGCCCTGACTACGGTCGCTCTGACCTCGACTGCTCCGACGACTTTGGCGCATGTTCTTACGCTCCACTGTTGTCCCCCGGATTGTGGTCAGTTCGGACGCCACCTGTGTATGCTGCGTGCTCTGGTCGTTGTCCAACAACAGCCGCATGGTGAACGACCCCGGGTCGAAGCCCGCCATCGAAGGCACGGCAGCCTGGTCCAGTGCCGTCCTCCTCGCCAGCTCCCAGGCAGCATTGGCCGGAGTGGGGATCTTGGCCACGCCCCCGAGCGGATCGATCATCGTCAAATCACGCGTCACGTCTCGTCGGAGCTCATTATCGTCTTGGAATATCCCGCCGTCCGGGGAGATCTAACCTGCTTAGCCACCACATTCGACGCGCAGCCCCACCCGGGGGGATATACCTACCCCCGTAGAGAACTTCCGTCCCGGCATATGAACATAGTCATCGAAGGAACTCTCCAGAGCCGCAAAGTTGAACCCCCGGTTCGGAGTGACCGGCTCGAACCGCTGGCCGACCTGCACTCGAAAGTCCACCGGCCGTCGTCGCACGGGCTGGTAGCGTGGCAACCCCAACCACAACCCGGGATAACTGCAAACCCAGCTCTGCAGCACCGGCTCGATCTCCAGCGCGAACTGCACCCGGCTCTCCGCGCGTGGTTTCTGGATCAACATGGCGAAGGTGAACTCCCGCGGAAGCCCCGACCGCTGCAGCGTGTTCTCCTCCAGGGACCAGACGATCTCGCCGGCTTCGACGTCGTACTCGCGACCGCGGGGGCTCCTCCGCGACCGGACGGACCCCTGGATGCGCATCATCTCGTACCGCTTGTACCGGCCGTTGATGCCCCCGCTCGGCGAGAGACTGGCGATCAGCGGCAGGTCGGCGACCCCCAGTGACCCGCTGAGGCTGTAGTTCCACTGCATGGTCTCCGGAGACACCGCGCCGTAGAGGAGGTGCGGCGCGTGCATCAAGAATCGAGGGCTGTACCGGGCCCGGGCCGCTGCCCCGGAGGATGGGGAGTCCCGACCCCCGTGGACGGACGCGCGGATGGTCGCGGCTTTGAAGCGGTGCGACAGGGTGTTGGGCGAGTGGAAGACGAAGGTCACCCCGAGGAAGTCCACATGGTCGGCATCTTGATTGGAGACGGCCGGGCTGGAGTAGTATCCGTGCTGGAGGCGCTGTACTCGCGCGGTGATGTATGCGTCCCCCGGGAGATGACGCTCGTAGATGCACGCCCCGTTGATGAGAAGACGAGGGTTGATGAGGTTGGGATCGGGCAGCGCTGGATCGGAAGGCGTCTTCGTCTTGTCGGGGGGCTGAGGGGCCGGGGGGCGAGAGGACGACGGCGGTGCTGCTCCAACGGGCTGTTGCAACGAAGCTGGAGAACGATCGATGGTCACCATCGCCACGGTGGGAGATTTCATCGTAGAGGATGCTGCTTTGGCGCTGTTACCATCAGCCTGAATACCCATCACGAGGTTGCCTGTATCGGACCTCCATGGGCACTTTCATGAAAAGTAGATCGAGAGACCCCCCGGAAAACTGGGGTTCAGATCGAGTACGTGGGAATCTGGGGTAGAACGCATTGTGAAAGCCATGATCATAGACAAGGAGGGAGAGTGATCAATGACGACAACGCTGGCGACCGATGGATGCGGCTTTATCAGGTGAGGAGAGGCAGGCAAGTCAGATGAGGCGATGCGATAGTTAACGACCAGCAGGCGTCGGCTGCCAGTATGGGCGCCGGCGGAATCAGTCGACGCTTAAGTCGAGCGAGTACAGGAACCAGAGCATGTCAGCTGCTGTTCCTGACCGTGTCTGAGTCTTGCGACCGACGAGAATCTACTTACCGGTTGGTTGCCGGTACACTGGTGGGTGATTTGGGTGGATGAGGCTGATCCCGTCACGGTTACTCAACAATGCTTAGCTGTCCCTTCTCGGCTGATTTAACTACTTAGCCTGTACTACCTAACACATCTTCCGACCGTCATACGCTCCACATGAACTCGAGATCTCTTGAGACTGGGATAGAGACAACTGCCTATAATCTCACAAAAGTGAACCCTGACTCCTGAAACCATAATGCATTATATACCGATGGTCTATACTTGTCGGAAGGCCGGACTATAACGCCCATGTTATACCGCACAAAGTGCCGAATCCACCGGTTCCACATTCACACGTGGGTTGTCGTATCAGCTGTTGGCTCACCTTGGCAAGCACTAACTGTGATGCTGTTAGACCTGGCAATCATGAGCGACAAAAGCAGACATTCTGGCAAAAGGCGTCTTGTGAAGCTGTGCTGATAGCTACAAATCACGACAAGATGACAACACACCAGGTTTCAAAAAGATTAGCGTCCGACGAGGCATGCTGTCTGTCCTGAGGGTGTAGACACACATTTGGGTGAGTCCAGGCCGAATGCTTGCACATCTACCTGATATGGCTGACTGGCCAGCGGATGGAACGTTGTGCTTATCTGGTCATAGAATATGACTGGCGCTTGGTTATCTTTATCTTCTCGACAGCTTTACTATCCCATCCTTCTAGTGCTTCTCGCGGCCGTGGCGTGTCGCAGCCGAATGCGGGGTCGGAGAGTGATACGGTATACACGAGTCGGCATGTACTTCTGTCGGCCAGAAGGAATTGTTTCATCCGCCGTTCACATACCCGACTCCTCCCGAACCAGTGTGGTTAAGCAGGATGCATGCAGGCTGCGCAGGGTTGTGCATTCAATGGTGCTGTTCGTCATGTAGGTTACTTGTCAGCTGGTCGTCTTCTATCCATCGCAGACCGTTGTTGCCGCGGGCGCAATTCACTCTTGCTTGAGTTAGAGCGGTGTGGCCATGCACCCAAACATGGGCAGAGTGTGCTGGCTTTTTGTGAATATGACTGATCATCGGCTTACAGATCCAGAAAACAGAACGGGGATTCGGTTCTGGAAATATCGGAGTTATGATGCTGACTGACTGACTCGGGAACCAACCAGCGATCCGCATAACGACCAAGCTGTATTACTAATGCCACCACAGCTTTGCTCGACCAATCCTGACCTTTTAACGAACCAGCCAGTGTGGAGCCCAGGGGAGATCCACCGGATGCCCGGCAAGCACTAGACGGAGAGGAAGAGGAACGAGAGTCATCATTGCCTCATTTCGGTTGGGTCCGAACTGGACAGGGAGATGGTGATATGGAAGTCCATCGAAACTCGCAAGGTGAGTGAAGGGGATACTCTAACTTAATGAAAATTACTATACTCTACGTGCTCACAGTGGGCTCGAAGTTCTTGGCCCTGATCCGTGGGCTGGAACATTTGGCTAACCATGTCGACTAGCGGCTCGGCAGATTCCTGGCTGACATCCGGGCAACTGGCAGCCTGCAGAAGACCTATATGATCCTTCACAGTCGAGCACTACTGAGTCGGTATGTACTATTCGGCTCCGATGAATGGGTTGCCTTCCACTCCTAGTAGCATCCATCATGGACCTGTACTGTACCATTGTAGTGTCAAGAGTGACCGAGTCATACTAAACTCGCTAGGATGCGAGGAGGATGCATACAACATACACCGGGCATGTGAGAATGGCTACCTAGTCCAGTTGATAGGGAGAGGACTGACTGACTGTTTGCAGCCAAAATGGGCAATCCATCTTATCACCTGTGACGGGCACCATGAATGGAAAATGAAAGGATGGAACCTGACTAACCGAAATCAGACCCCGATCTGAGTTGTTGTCCGTCGTAAGCAGCCCATTAATAATCCTTGAGAGGAATATGAATTCCGGTGAAATGAGCTTGCCTAGTGAATTTCGGTGTGCCCAGCGACCAGGCACGGATGACCCGATCAGGCCAATCAGCAGCACGGATGACAAAACCCGACGAGTTTTTAGCAGCTTATGTCCGGTCGAACTTTTTCATGCTTCACCCGTCCACTCTTCGGGTCCAGCCGATCTTGAATCAGATACCTTGCCCTTCGTCCAATCCTTTTCCCTCCTGATGACATCCACCGCGCTCATCCTGACTCATTTCGACTCTGGAATTTCCTTTCCTTCCCTTCTCGCCCCCCTCGCGCTTCTTTCCCATCCTTTTTTTGCAGCTGCGTTACCCGCGCTGCCAGCAGCCACCATCGATCCACAGTTCGGTTGGCGTCTTCCTCCACCCTCCACCTCGTTTCATCCTCTGATTGCAGCCTCGCTGGAGCAGACCCTGTTCTTTCTCCACGGCTAGAAGATTCTTACAAATCCACCAGAAATTTTTTCCCTGTGAAAGGTGGCCCACACGGAGTTAATCAGCGCAGACTCGCGGCTTTTAACCATGATGCAACGACCTCCATCGGCAGCCCCTCCTGGCTCTTCCCTATTTATAAAGCTTCTTTTGTCTTTCTTGCGTGGGTGATCCCCATTGCGTTTCTCATTCTATAGACCCTCTCCCCTCATCTTCGCAGGTGTATGTTGGTGAGAGCTCCCGCAGCTATCATTCAAGTGCCTGGCCTCTTATATAACCTTTCTAATTACATTACCTTCTTTCTTTTCTCGACTCATTCCGGCTGTAGCCCCGGCTATACATATTAACTCGCATATATCCCGAGTTACACGATTCGGTATTACTATTTTTACTTTTACGTTCTTTTAATATCTATCCGTTTGACGCGCATTTGTCCCATTTCAATTGACGCCTGTGGAATTTGATTACGGTTTCGGCTCGATTCCTTGGACTTCTTAGCACCTTGATTGCTTTGACCCCTCAACCACAGACAGGCTCCGAAAGCGCACCTCGATTTGCCTGCGAGGAAAAACAAATCAATTATGTCCAACACCACGGCCGAGGGAAGTCGGCTGCCGGGCGACTTGCAAGAAATCCCGACGTTGACGAATGAAACCCGGTCCGATGGCCACGAGGCAAGCCACGACGTGCCCCACGTCGTCGCCTCCGATTCATCCCTGTCGACTAGTGATAGCGAGACATCCCGAGAGGGCCACTGGGGAGAGCGGGGCACTGAACCCGTCTCTCGTCGCGGGGCGATGGAGGATTTGGAGGAGATGAGACGGGAGCTGACCAGGCTTAGTCTGCATCGTACTCGTTCCGTCAAAGGCGACGCCCAGCGACGCCGCTCGAAGGCTTCTCGCGCCGATGAAGAGAAGGCGCTGGAAGGCGACGGACTCTCCGGCTCGACTGAAGGCGACTATGGCGCATTCGACCTGGGCGAATTCCTGATGGGTGGTCACCTCGAACGACGCACAACAGCTGGCGAGCCGGCGAAGAAAGTCGGTGTCGTTTTCAAGAACGTCACCGTCAAGGGTATCGAGACTGGTGCCTCCTTCGTCCGCACTCTTCCCGATGCTGTCATTGGAACCTTTGGCCCCGATTTGTACAAAATCATCTGCAGGTTTGTCCCGCAGCTCCAGTTCGGTCGCAAGCCTCCAGTGCGGGACTTGCTTCATGATTTCACGGGCGCGGTTCGCGAAGGTGAGATGATGTTCGTTCTGGGTAGACCAGGCGCCGGCTGTTCCACCTTCTTGAAGACGATTGCCAACGACCGAGGCGCTTTTGCCGGCGTCGAAGGTGAAATCAGGTACGGTGGTATGTCGGCTGAGGAACAGCACAAACACTTCCGTGGTGAGGTCAACTACAACCAGGAAGATGATCAACACTTCCCGAACTTGACTGTTTGGCAGACCTTGAAATTCTCGCTGATCAACAAGACGAAGAAGCATGACCGGGACAGCATTCCCGTCATTATCGACGCTCTGTTGAAGATGTTTGGTATCTCTCACACGAAGAACACAGTCGTCGGAAACGAATACGTCCGCGGTGTCTCTGGTGGTGAGCGTAAACGTGTCAGTATCGCTGAGACTTTGGCAACGAAATCCTCGGTCGTTTGCTGGGACAACTCAACCCGTGGTTTGGATGCCAGCACTGCCTTGGATTACGCCAAGTCACTCCGAATCATGACCGACGTCAGCAAGCGCACCACATTCGTCACTCTATACCAAGCCGGAGAGAGCATTTACGAGCTCATGGATAAGGTAATGGTGATCGATTCCGGACGCATGCTCTACCAGGGACCCGCCAGCGAGGCTAGAGAGTACTTTGAGAACCTCGGCTTTGCTTGTCCGGACGGATCGACCACGGCCGATTTCCTTACTTCCCTGTGCGATGTCAATGCCCGTCAATTCCAGCCAGGTCGTGAGGCGTCTACTCCCAAGACTGCGGAGGAGCTCGAAGCGGTCTTCCGCCAGAGCAGTGCTTACAGGCGAATCTTAGATGATGTCGCTGGCTATGAGAAGCAGCTCCAGGACACCAACTGCGAGAACACTCGTCGCTTCCAGAAGTCCGTCGCTCAATCCAAGAGTAAAACCGTCTCTAAAAAGTCCCCTTACACTGTGTCTCTGGTTCGACAGGTTACTGCATGTGTGCAGCGTGAGTTTTGGCTGTTGTGGGGTGACAAGACATCACTCTACACCAAGTACTTCATCATCTTGTCCAACGCTCTTATCGTCTCCTCTTTGTTCTACGGAGAATCTATGGATACCAGCGGCGCTTTCTCGCGTGGTGGTGCTCTGTTCTTCTCTATTCTGTTCCTTGGCTGGTTGCAATTGACGGAATTGATGCCTGCGGTCAGTGGACGTGCCATCGTCGCACGCCACAAAGACTATGCATTCTACCGTCCTTCTGCTGTGTCTATCGCTCGTGTTGTCGTGGATTTCCCGGCAATCTTCTGTATGGTCGTTCCTTTCACCATCATCGTCTATTTCATGGCTGGGTTTGATGTGGACGTGTCTAAGTACTGGATCTACTTCCTGTTCGTGTACACCACCACGTTTTGCATCACCTCAATGTATCGCATGTTCGCGGCGCTGTCCCCGTCAATCGACGATGCCGTTCGCTTCAGTGGTATCGCCTTGAACGTGTTGGTCTTGTTCGTTGGCTATGTCATCCCCAAACAGTCCCTCATCGATGGGTCTATTTGGTTCGGATGGCTTTTCTACGTCAATCCGCTCTCTTACAGTTACGAAGCCGTGCTTTCCAACGAATTCGCCAATCGTGTAATGGACTGTGCTCCTTCGATGCTGGTTCCCCAAGGTCCAGGCATTGACTCTAGATACCAAGGATGCGCTCTGACTGGTTCTGAATTGGGTTCGACAACCGTTCAGGGAAGCAGTTACATCCAAACGACTTACCAGTTCACTCGCCACCATCTATGGCGTAATTTTGGTGTTGTCATTGCTTTTACCGTCCTCTATATCTTGGTCACCGTGTTTGCAGCCGAAATCCTTTCGTTCGTTGGTGGCGGAGGTGGTGCGTTGGTGTTCAAGCGCTCCCGCCGTGCTAAACAGCTCAAGGCGCAGGCTAATAAGGGCAACGACGAAGAGAAGATGCAAATCCCGGGCCAGGGACAGTCTCATTCGGGTGCAAACAGTGAAACCTTCAACCGTATCTCGTCGAGCGACCGGGTGTTTACTTGGTCCAACGTCGAGTATACCGTGCCTTATGGTAATGGAACTCGGAAGCTTCTGAACGGCGTCAATGGTTACGCTAAGCCTGGACTCATGATTGCCCTTATGGGTGCATCTGGAGCGGGTAAGACGACGCTCCTCAACACTTTGGCCCAACGCCAAAAGATGGGTGTTGTGACGGGTGATATGCTTGTTGATGGCCATCCTCTGGGCACGGACTTTCAACGTGGTACTGGTTTCTGTGAGCAAATGGATCTTCACGACAACACCGCCACAATCCGCGAGGCTCTCGAATTCTCGGCTCTCCTCCGTCAGGATAGGGATACTCCTCGTCAGGAGAAAATCGATTACGTCAACCAGATCATTGACCTTCTTGAGCTAGAGGAGATCCAGGATGCTATTATCGGTTCTCTCAATGTCGAGCAGAAAAAGCGGGTGACCATTGGTGTGGAGTTGGCCGCGAAGCCCAGTCTGCTTCTTTTCCTTGATGAACCCACCAGTGGTCTGGACAGTCAAGCGGCGTTTTCCATTGTGCGATTCTTAAAGAAGCTCTCGCAGGCAGGACAGGCTATCGTGTGCACCATTCACCAGCCTTCGTCCATGCTGATCCAGCAATTCGACATGATCCTGGCCTTGAATCCTGGTGGTAACACCTTCTACTTTGGCCCCGTTGGTCATGAGGGCCGCGATGTGAAGAACTACTTTGCTGATCGTGGAGTCGTTTGCCCTCCGTCTAAGAACGTTGCGGAGTTCATTCTCGAAACGGCTGCAAAGGCTACCAAGAAGGATGGCAAGACTTATGACTGGAATGAAGAATGGCAGAACTCGGAGCAGAACCAGAAGATTCTGGACGAGATCAAGGCTATCCGGGAGGAGCGCAGCAAGATCCCCCTTCCCGAGTCGGGTACTACGTACGAATTCGCAGCTCCAGCCATGACGCAGACCTACCATCTCATGATGAGAATTTTCCGCCAGTACTGGAGAGATCCCTCATACTACTATGGAAAGTTGTTTGTCAGTGTCATCATCGGTATCTTCAACGGTTTCGTAAGTATTTCTCGATCAATTCAACTCCAAACCCGCACTAACAGTTGCAGACCTTCTGGATGCTGGGCAACTCCATCTCTAGCATGCAAGACCGCATGTTCTCGACTTTCCTGATCATTCTTCTCCCGCCCATTGTTCTGAACAGTTTGGTCCCGAAGTTCTACATGAACCGTGCCCTTTGGGAAGCGCGCGAATACCCCAGCCGTATTTATGGCTGGTTCGCCTTCTGTACCGCCAACATCATCTGCGAGATTCCAATGGCGATCGTGTCCGCTCTGATTTACTGGCTCCTGTGGTACTACCCGGCCGGTTTCCCCACCGATTCCAGTAACGCGGGCTACGTCTTCCTCATGTCGATGCTCTTCTTCCTCTTCCAAGCCAGCTGGGGTCAATGGATCTGTGCCTTTGCCCCCTCCTTCACCGTCATCTCCAACGTACGCCCTCTCCCCCACCCCGCCTTCTGCTTCTAGCCTCCATCTAACATACAAACCAGGTCCTCCCCTTCTTCTTCGTCATGACCAGTCTGTTCAACGGTGTCGTCCGCCCGTACTCCAACTACCCGGTGTTCTGGAAATACTGGATGTACTACGTCAACCCGGTGACCTGGTGGCTCCGCGGCGTGATCTCGGCCGTCTTCCCCACCGTCACCATCGAGTGCTCCTCCACGGAGACCACCCACTTCAACCCCCCGTCCGGCCAGACCTGCTCCAGCTACGCCGGCGACTGGGTCTCCAGCGTCGGCAACGGCTACCTCGCCAACCCGAGCGCCACCTCGGACTGCCAATACTGCCCCTACGCCAACGGCACGCAGTACATGCACACGCTGAATGTGCACGACGGCGACAAGTGGCGCTGCTTCGGCATCTTCCTGGCCTACGTGATCATCAACTGGGCCCTCGTCTACTTCATGATCTACTGCGTGCGCGTCCGCGGGTGGTCGTTCGGTCTGGGCTTTGTGTTCTCCGCGTTCGGCAAGCTGATCGGTGGCATCAAGGGCCTGTTCACCAAGAAGAACAAGAGCGAGAAGCGGTGAAGGGAATTGATCTGCAAGCTTGCTGTCGGGCTTCTTAGGCTTTTGATGGCTGTTTTATGGTGATCCCTTATGATGTCACGTGCCATGTGATTTCGGTCGGTGGTGGCCTGGGAGTTCCCTTTTCTCTCTGCAGGCACGGTTCTATGCCCGGTCTTTTTCATGCCTTGGGGTATCAACATTTATCTTAGGTACTATTATATCAAATGGGGATAATTCGGGTAAAAGAAGAGAAGTATCTAGACGGCATTTTTGCCATGCATCAGCGCGCGTCTTTGTGGTCGAGGGATTTTATTCTTAATTCTATAATTTCTGGGTTTAGAGATAGAAACTCCCGCTGGGAAGGAATTTACATAATACTAGTATGTGCCATTCTTGTTAATATCGTGCTGAAACATTGCAAGATCGTAATCTCATGAAGCTAGACAGGTGCCGAAAACGGATTTTAATCTCCCCTTTCTGTGGGGAAGGATTATAGGCTCAAGTCTCCAACTCGAAGCATCCCTAATCAACCTTCCGAGAAGAACCACGGCTTCCGCCCTCCGTAGTAGTATCGCCCCGGCACACGCATCGGCACGGGCACTGTCCCCGCAAACAAGTCCATCAAGCCGCCGCCTGTCCCCTCGTCGTTCCGTGTTGGTGGCGGTGCCTGCGAGGGAGAAGCACTGCTGCTGCTGGTGCTGCTGGTGCTGCTTTTCCCACCAGCGTCTGACTTGTTACGCGGATTCTCCAAAACGGGGACCAGGACCCCGCACTCCCAATTGCGACAGTTGAGTTTGGGCTGTTTGGTGGTGCGATCGAGCACGAGACGTCCCCTGGATTTGATGCACATTCTGTATCAGCGACCGAAATTTTTTTTTTTTTTTTTTTTTCTTTCCGTTCTTGACAGAGGGGGATGGGGCGAGGGAAGGACAGGAGGTCAAGGTTTGCGGCATACCATGCACTTTCTGACAGATTTGCACTTCCGACATACGCCCACGCTCGACATAGATGGCTCTTACCCTGCGATGCGAGCGGGATGGGTTCATCGGGGCGGACGTAGAGTATCTATTTGCGTCGTGTTTATTTAGCTTAAACTATGTCTGATTTTTGCGAGGCAATGGGGAAATGTGCAGGTCTGATGGGATATTACCTTATTATGCATCAACATTCCGCGGCGTTGGCTCTCGCAGTCGCGGAGGACGTGGCGCGGGAACTTGGCGCCTTCGTACCATCTGGACTGGAAGCAGACCGTGCCCGCGCAGTTGGGCCCGCCCTTGGAGGCAGCGACGGTGGCTTGCGAGGGGAAGTAGACGCGGAGCCGGTCGTCTTTCCATTCTGAGGCTGTGTGGTGGGGGACGAGGGTGGTGGGGTCGGTGAGGTGTCTTGCGGGGGAGGTTTTGGACGTGCGGAGGGTTAGGTCGGTTATTCCGCTGTCTCCTGTTGATTTTAGAGGTTTGGTTAGTTCTTGGGTTAAGGGCGGAGGGGGTTCTGGCTGAGGAGGGATGGAAAGTGAACGAACCCTGGGAGGCGAGGTATATGGATCTGAGGAAGTCGTCGGTGAGAGATCCGAGGGAGGATGTCTGTTGCGGTTATTTTGGTTAGATGATTGGAAGTAATGATACGTAGGACGCCATAGGAGTGCACTTACGACAAAGTCGATGTTCAATGGTTTGGACGTGCGCAGACCCATGCGTTCTACTGCACGCCCAAGACCGCAGTAGCCCGTGCGCTCCCACGCAATTCCTGTATGTGCGCCCCCGCTTGTTGTGTGCAGTTAGTCGATGATCGGAGTGTTGTTTTGGCATGCTGGGCTGAGTCTCCTTACATTGTATGGACAAATGCATAATTGGCAGTCTTCGCGAAGTCAAAGCTCTTCAGCTTCGCAATGATGTTCTCATGTAGAGTGCAGGCTTTCAGAAAGTATACCAAATCTTCATAGAATGCCGTCGTAGGACACTCCTGCTTCTCAACGTCGATTTTCGGAAGGTCGATCAGGAAGACGCTCTGTATGTCAGATTAGCTGCGCCAAAGAAAAACATGCCATGTATCATACATTTTCCATGACCCCGTTCATCTCGCCCCAGTCATAGTTGGTCAGGTTGGCGGTTGGCACTGCGATTCGAACATATGTAGGATGGAAAAGTAGCATCAGCTTCGAATGCATGCAGTTCACCTGGCCATCCATCGGAGGAAAGCAAAGTCGCACATTGCGTAGGGCTGCTGCCTCTGATTCATACTGGCGTTTCTTGGGAGAAATCAGTTCACAGGGGACACTACGTGAAATCGTCGAAAGTTTGACCGATGGTTACTCACAGTCGCATCGTCCTTGGCTTGCATCACCAGGAGAAAGCGTGTGCTTCTTGTGTCAGTCTTGGAGAATAGCCAGTCCAAATCCCACATAAACGAGCTCAATACTGCTAATTCTAGATCGGACTTTTGCAACACCTCTTCGATTTTGATATCATCGCCCTGTCGTGGAAAGCCAGACGCCCATGTCTTTTTGACCACGCCTTCCGGATATTGCAGAGGTGAGGATGTCAGCGCACTGGCACTGGCGATGGTGACACTCGCGTTTTGGCTGCCCTGGACGGGCTTGCTCACACGAGGGGTGGGAGCCGCTTCAATCTTTGAGGATTTGGATTCACGCTCGTTGAGTGATGATGTGTCGTCAGCTTTCCGTTTCGCAAGTCGCGCAAGACGCTCTTGTTCCATCTGTTTCCGATCGAGCCCAAAGATACCGATCGGCCTAGCTGGTTCAGCTTGAGTGGCATCATTCCTGACAGTCGTTGTCGAGGAAGCAGCAGAAGTCCGGCTCGCGCTGGCTTGCTCTGTAGCTGTTTGGAGAGCTCCCGAAGGCTGGCTTGATACACCCAGCATGGATGCCGCAATAGCTCTCTTCATATCATCATCATCATCATCATCATCATTGTCCTCGTCATCGTCCAGGTTGATCAGTGAAGGGGGATTTGGGGTCAGATCTGTGCTGGTTTCCCGGATCGTTGGCGGGGACGCAGAGGAGGGATCCTGAGCTGCTTTGGACTCCTGCAAGGAGAGCGCGATGGCTCGCTTCATGTCCTCATCTTCTTCATCGTCGGTCTCCGACCCTATGACAGACCTTGATTTCGGACAGATGGGCACCACATCATTGTCAGATTCCGACTCAGTTTCACCGGTCAGATCGACGACGGCCTGTTGACGGCGTCGGGATGGCGGTTCATCCGCAGAGTTCCTGATGCCCACTAAAGACGCAGCGATTGCTGCTCGAAGGTCTGCATCGTCGCCGTCGTCCGAGTGCATTTTGTGTAGTCGTGGAATTGGACACAAGTCAAGTATGAAGGGGGTGGAGATAGTAATTTAGCGTTTACTTCTGCGGCGGCTGCATTACCGAAACGAGTGTTGTAGTTGGTGTTGTTTACCCAAGGTTGAGGTTACTTTGAGTATGGATCCCGCCAGAGCTGGGGCTGAGTTCACTCTGTGGCAGTTTATATGCTCTAAAGAGGAGTGTATCAGATCAAAGTATTTTAAGGCAATAGTCAGAGGTGGCAGATGGTGATGGGGAAAGTTGATGAGCGTTTAACAGGATGCTGGCTGGGAACCTCTCGCCGCCAGCACGTGACCAGGCTGACGGAGGGCCGAGAGACAATGTCTTTTTACCTCACCCTCACTTTCACTGCATTACTAGTCTATGCTGCTCCCTACAAAGAAAACACTTGCTTTGGGGCACATTTCACTAACTATAGTATAATGGTGATGTTCATCCACTCGGCGCGAGTTGCCATAACCGAAAATGCAAGCCACAGACAACTCCATGATGCTCTTAATGAATGATTTTCGTCTAAGGCTGCGCTCTAGACCTTAGGATCACTAGACCCAATGATGAATCATAGTGCTTTGTTGATAGTTGACTAACCGATACCATACCAGTTTAGAGCCAGTCTTTGAAGTTCAATCCTCCAGGACACATTGTCTCATTGAACAACCGTTCTCACAGAGTGCAGACTGGCTCTTTCCGCCAGTTCAGCCCTTCTTAAATCCTTAACAGCCAGGTTGCAATTTCAGTTGGCGTGCGCATACCGACTCAATGCTCTTGACACTTCATCTGGTTTGTCTCACTTCCTCCAACTCTAGCTGGAGCATATTGGTTTGTTGGAGGAACCAGAGAATCAAATCCCGAAGACAGAAGAGAAACCTCCACGCGTTCAACCCGAAAATCGGAGACGGGTGTGAACCATGTGGAACAGCCACGGCTTCAAGTCAGCATAGCAGTTGCTGCCTTCGACCCTACTTTGCCCGCCTCTCAGACGCACTGAAGCACCAGATCAATGATCGCGAAGAAGACATCCCGATCCGCGTCGGCCGTCTCGAGACCAAGTCCAAGGACCAGCAGCCGCTTCTCATCCGGCGTCTTGGTGACAATAGCACTCGCGATCTGCCGAGCATACAGCTGGCCAACAACCTCATGGCCTGGAGCTCGACCGCCCAGAAGTGACGTAGCGGTCAAGTTGCTAATCGGAAGAAGACTGTCATCCGAAGAATCGGGAATGATGTGGAAACCCTCTGTACCGGGATTCTTGTTCTCCAAGGGGACGTGCAGCTGTGGTTGGTCAGTGGAGAAGTTCGATGCGATGCGTGAACGGATCACAGACCCAGTGGCCGAGTCGACCTTTTTGAGAGATAGTCACCAAGATCCGGTCACTGAATTTGACAAGCATCACATCGGTGGGGATCCCATTAATGATCCCGGCGGCTTGTTTGGTGACTGCGGGGAAGGGTAGGTTGATTGGTTCCAGAAAAGGATCAAGATTGACTGCTTCGGCCATGATGGCAAACTGAAAATCTGTTCGTAGAGTATACTTATGAGACCACGCAAGACACCTAGGGTACTCTGCCACAATGACAAAAATAGAGCACGATCTGACGAAAGTTGTTGGAGCAGAAGAGGGTAGAGTTGTAGTTATCCATTCCCCGCCTCCGATCATCACGGAAGGCGGTGAGTACATACCTCACCGCCTGCGGGGCAGAATGGCTCCGCCGCGTAATTTTTTCTCTCCTCATGGATCGAGCATCATTATCACAATTCAATTTTCTCTTATCTTGTGGCCATTTGATCCTGGTAGATTGAGTAGGAGCAATCGCTTCTACCTCCAGGCACCATGCCCAAGTTTGTTCCCCGTCAGCGGAAGCAGAAACACCGGCAGCAGGCGGAGTCAACCGCCGGGGTAGATACCAATGCTGCCGAAATTTTGCCCGTCTCCAAAAGTGAAAAGGAAGCCAAGCGACAAAAGCTGAAGGAGGAATTGAAGTCGCAGAACCCCACTATATCCTCCAAGAAACAGAAGCGCCTGGATAAGTACATTGTGCGTCTTTTGTTGTGCGCTGCTTAGGAGACCCTTCTAACCTCGCTCGCAGGAAACGAAATTGAAGAAAGAGGAGAACATTGAACTGTTGAAGAAGCTCGCGCAAAGCAAGGTCGATACCTCTGCTCTTCAAAGCACGAAGGAACTCGGGAAGCGCAAAAGACCTGATGAGAGACCGCCCCGGCCAACGACTACAGACCGCAATGCCTCCCACGTCGACTATTCCTCCGGTGACGAGACTGACGATTCGCTACCTCCGGCCAAGTCCATTGCCATCGCAAGTACACCTGCAGAGTCCCAGACAGTGGGCAGCGGCTTGAAACGCCCACTCGAAATCGGACCTGATGGGTTCCCAATCCTCAAGAAGCGGAAACGCGCGCCCAAGAAAAAGCCGATGATTACGATATCTATGCCTGAGGTTCCTTGGGACGGATTCGGATCAGATGACGAGGGCGAGAAGGAAGAGGATGAGGAGGAGGTTGATAAAGAACACTCCGGAGAGGACTCAGATGAAACGTCAGAGGATGATAAAAGCGAGGATGACAGCGACAGCGGGAGTGACGAGGACGAGGACGAGGACGGAGAAAGCAACGATGATGAGGAGGAAGATGACGAAGACGACGAAGACGAAGAAGAGGATATGGGTGACCTAAAAAAAATCAAGCCGCGACAGTCCGCATTCAAGGACTGGGCTCGGCAGCAAATTAACGAAGCCGTGGGATTCACGCCTACGACCGTCCCCATTGTCGCCGAACCGATGCCATTTATCCCTGAATCAAAGAGACCGGTGAGGAACACAGTCTATGTGGAAGAGCCGCTGCCTCGAGAGCTACAGGTCACTACTGGAGATCCCAATCGAAAGGCCTTCAGCGTTCAAGTCAATCGTTCCGAGGAAATACAGCAGGCACGTCTAGGCCTGCCTGTTGTTGGAGAGGAACAGAAGATTATGGAAGCCATCTACAACAACCCTTCGATCGTGATTTGGGGTGCTACTGGTAGCGGTAAAACCACCCAGCTACCCCAGTTTCTGTTCGAAGCGGGCTATGGCCATCCTGACGGTCCTAATCCTGGAATTATCGCTGTTACCCAGCCGCGCCGAGTCGCTGCTGTCAGTATGGCGAAACGTGTAGGCGATGAGCTGGGTCAATTTTCCGACCGTGTGTCTTATCAAATTCGGTTCGACAGTACGGCAACCAGCAAAACTGCCGTCAAGTTCATGACTGACGGTATCCTCATTCGAGAGATTGCCGAAGACTTCTCATTGAAGAAGTACTCTGTCATCGTGATCGATGAAGCCCATGAGCGTAGTGTCAACACAGATATCCTCATTGGCATGGTGAGTCGAATTGTTGATCTGCGGAAATCAATGAGCGAGGAAGATCCGTCTGTCAAGCCTTTGAAGCTGGTGATTATGTCTGCTACTCTGCGCATTTCCGATTTCACGCAAAACCCCAGTCTATTCCGCCAGGGACCTCCACCATTGGTGCAGGCTGAGGGTCGTCAATACCCCGTCACTATTCATTTCTCCAGACGCACCCACCGTGATTATATCGAAGAGTCTTTCCGCAAAGTGTCGCGAGGCCATCGCAAGCTGCCCCCCGGTGGTATTCTTGTATTCTTGACCGGACAGAATGAGATCCGTCAACTTTCTAAACGGCTGAAGCAGACCTTTAAGCCTACACAGCGAGCGGACACCACCCAGGTGAAGGTCCAGATATCGGCCAACGATGCGCCGTTGGAGACGGAAGATCTGGAAATCGGCGGTGCCGATTTGTCCGTTCCTGGCGGCGAAGGAGATGATGAAAGTGACTACGAGATCACTGGTTTGGATGAGCCTGACGAAGAAGACGAAGAATTCGACCTGGGTGAAGAGGCCATGAGCTCAACGACTCGGGTCCACGTGTTGCCCCTGTACTCTCAGCTTCCGACCAAGGAACAGCTCAAAATCTTCGAAGAGCCCCCAGAGGGCTCGCGTCTCATTGTTCTGGCCACCAACGTGGCGGAGACCAGTTTGACCATCCCTGGCATCAAGTATGTGTTTGACTGCGGCAGAGCTAAGGAGAAGCAATATGATCTGTCCACCGGAGTGCAGAAGTTCCAGATTGAATGGATCAGCAAGGCCAGTGCAAACCAGCGAGCAGGTCGTGCTGGTAGAACTGGACCGGGCCACTGCTACCGCCTCTATTCGTCCGCGATCTACGAGAACGAGTTTGCCGAGTACACCGACCCAGAAATCCTGCGCACGCCGATTGAAGGTGTTGTGCTGCAGATGAAGAGCATGGGTCTGCACAACGTCATCAACTTCCCCTTCCCCACGCCCCCTAGCCGGCAAGGCTTGGCCAAGGCCGAAAAGCTGCTGAAGAACCTGGGGGCCTTGACATCGGAGGGCAAGATCACACAGATCGGTACCCGGCTCTCTACCTACCCTCTATCTCCTCGATTCGGCAAGATGCTGTACGTGGGCCACCAGCACGGGTGCATGCCGTACGTGATCGCCCTCGTCGCCGCTCTGGCAGTGGGTGACCTCTTTGTCCCCCAGAGTCAGATCGATCCCGTGTCGTCGAAATCCAATGATGACGGAGGTGTGTACACCAACGCGGACCGGCTCGAGGATACGGCGCGGGAGCAACGCCACAAAGACTACGCGCGGGCTCATCGACTGTTCAGCAAGCATGACGATACCTCGGACGCGATGAAATACCTGTCCGCGATCTGCGCCTACGGATACGCCTCCGACGGGGATTCGTTTTGTGAGAAGATGTTCCTGCGAGCCAAGGCCTTCAAAGAAGCCACCCAGCTGCGCCGTCAACTCACAGATATTGTGCGAACCAACAACCCCGGTCTCGTCGGTGCCTACCAGGCGCGTCTGCCGGAGCCTTCCGAGAAGCAGGTCAAGGCTCTCAAGCAGATCATCACCGCGGGTTTCATCGACAACGTGGCCCTCCGCGCCGATCTTGCGCCTGTACCTCCGGAGATGGCCCGGACGCCCAAGCGAGCCATCGACGTCCCGTACTTCACGCTCATGCGGTCGCGCGAGGGACCGGGCTTAGAGCTGAACGAGAAGTGCGTCTATGTGCATCCCTCGTCCATCCTTGCGCAGATGTCCGCCAAGGAGATGCCGCAGTACATTGTCTATTCCCACCTGCAACAATCTTCTCCGTCGGTGGTGGCGGCCGAGCAAACCCCCAAGATCCGGATGTATCCCCTGGCGACCCCCAGCGGACTGCAGCTCTCCGCCATCGCACACAACACGCCGCTGATTGAGTACGGGAAGCCAATCGGCAAGGCGGAGACGATCGAGGGGATCCCCGAGCGACGCTCATGCTGGGTGATCCCGGCGCTGGTCGGCGAGGCCGGTGGTTCGAGGTGGCCTTTACCGGCGAAGAAGGTCATCCAGAAGAAGGATCCCAAGGAGGGGTGGGTGATCGAGAAGTTTGTCAGTTGAGGTATATATAGCGACGAAGCCTGCAAGCAAAAGTTATGAGAATATAGTTAATATACAGCTGTGTCTGCTCATCGAATCCAGCATTGCAGATTTGCAACTATGCGATAGTGCCTGCGTAGCGGCGCAGTAGAAAAAAAAACCCCCCAAAGTAATAACGCCCGAACACCCATCAATCCTCCCTTTCCCTAAACCCCAAATACGAGAGAAAAAGAAGCACCATCACAATAATCCAACCACCCAGCTCAGCAAAAGACACACCCTCCAAATACCACAACCAACCACCCAATCAATCAATCAATCAATCCCTCCGCCTGCGCCCCGAAATCTCCCCGGTCTCCCTATCCTCGCGAATCCCCAACGCCCGTCTCAACCGCTCACTCTCCTCAATCTTGGCCTCGGCCAACTCATGCACCTGATACGACTTGAACTGTTTCTTCGAAGGAGGAGGAGGAGGCATATCCCGCTCCCTGCCCCACCTTCCGCTCCTCCCACCATTCCCACTACCACCACCAGACGCATACCCGGACACTCCCCTGCCACCATCCCTCTCCTTCCGCGACGCAACCCGCCGCTCCTCCTCCTCCAACTCGTTCAACAACCTCTCCCGTAACTTCTGGCATCGCTCGTCAATCTCCTCCTCCGAGAGCACCCGTTCCCGTTTCCCTGTCGCCTCAGCAGCCTCGCCCTCCTCTTCCTCCTTACCCTCCTCAGCCTCCTCATCCTCCTTCTGCTTCTTCACCCCCTTCCTTGCCTCTTCCTCCTCCAACCGCTCATTCTCCTCCTCCAACTCCTCCCGCAACTCCATGACCTTGACCTCGACGGCGCGCCGCCGATCATGCTCGAGGATCTGCCGATCCGGCACCCGCTGCTTGAAGCCACCCCCCCGCTCACTGGCCGAGTTGGCTCCCGAGACGGGCGGGTACGGTTGGCCGTAGCCCGTGGCGCGGGGCTTGATGAAGGCGGCGTTGCGCTGGACGTAGCCCGAGGTGCCGCTGCCGCGGGGGGTGGAGAGGCCGACGTTGGAGGACATGCTTTTTTCTTTCTTTTTTTTCCGACCGGTGGGGCTTTTCGTGGTGATTGATTCTTGTTGGCTGGTACTGGTTGGGGAAGCGAAGGCAAGGTGAGTGGAGTGCGGAGGTGAGTTGTTTCTCTGGGAGGATGTGGGATGAGATGGTGGAAGGTGAAGTTCGACTTGTGGTTGCGATCGGTTGCGATTCGTTGATGAGGTGTTTCTGAGGTGTGTGATGGCCAGTGCTGAGCAGAAGGTGGATCGCGAGTTGCGTAGTTAGGTAGTCATCAAGTTGGACGATCTGATCAGTTAGGGGAGAGAGGGTAAAGCAAGCCAGTATTGTCGGGTTGACCGTGGCGACGGAGCTTCCAAGGTTAATCGTCCAGGTTTCTCTTGCGAGTTGGCGCCGCGCAAGCTATCAGTCACGTGAAGATAACAGAGCTGCGGTATTAATTACTACCGCCACCTATTGTGTGTGTGAGAGAGAGAGAGAGATACTACGAAATACGACCAACCTACAGCACTGCAAACCAGAAAAGAAAAAACGCAAACCAGACACATTTCAATTCGTGGTCTGTATACTAGCTAGAGTGCTCAGCCTCTACATGCTCTAGGCATCCCGTATGTTCTCCCTATTTCCAGGTCTCCCATTATGTCCAAGGTCCCACACATTTTGTTAACCCACCGAAGGAATTCAAGCGCGATGCCCCATAACCCATGATTCACCAATAACTGACGCCGACCCTTCATGTTGTTAGGACACAGAGAAACAGAAAATATCGATAGCTATGGAGGCGTGTCCTCATTTTCGTCACAAGAACTGCAAAGGTAACAGAAGAAGGTACATCCACAAGCAATTAAAGAAGTAGAAAAATAAGTTTCAAGAAGCAAAAGGGGCGGGGGAATAGTAGTAGTGAAATAAAGCAAATGACCTCAAGTCTCCGCCATGTCCCTGGATATTGCGCCGTCAAGCCATGAAAAGTGGGCGGAAAGATGAGGAGCAGTCCCTCCTTCAGGCCCCGGTATGTATACGCCCCGAGCAATAATGTCGTTGAAGAACTCAGAACATCGGAAAAATAAAGCTATATTTCAGAGAAAGCAATGTTAGATATAGAGCCGTTGCAATCTATGTCGCCCCAGGGACTTCCACGGACGCGCTCGAGTCCGCCTCGGCTGATTCGGATTCAGCCAGCGAGGTCACGGTCGCCTTGGGAATATTCTTGAACTCGGAAGAGGTATCTGCGCCGCTTTGACTATCAGTCGGAGGGGGGGTTGGAGGTGCTGCTCCAACGGGAACCCGGCCGTTTTCAACTCCGTTGACTGCACGCTTCGACGGCTGGGGAGAGGATTTATGCGAGTTAGGGGGTGTGGTAGAGGTGGCTGTGTGAGGAAGGGGCCCTTCGGCACCAGGGTTGATCCCAGCGATCAATTTCTCGATGGCAACAATCTGCTTGCCGTAACTGTACTTCTTCAGCTGATCAAGCATTGGCTGGATGCGCATCACAAGGGCATATTTTTCCTCGGGTGAGTCTTGTAGTTGACCAAGAATTTTCTCTGTGGGAAGTTAGCAGCTGCAGTTGACTAGGCTAAAGAGTGCCAACTTACGAATAACATAGTTGCCGTACTGGTCACGCATCAAGCCGATGAGGGGAGTATCACCCCGATCGTTGACACTGGTCAAAGTGTCGATGATCTGTCGACGCTGGGATTCTTCCCCAAACTCAATGCTCTTCTCGACAACGTTACTGGCGAACTTGTGCTTCGAGTAAGTGAGCAGCTGGCCGATGACAACATTGATCATGCGCGACCGATCCTTCTCCTCGCCATTCTCAATGACATGTTGTATCACGTAGTTACCAAATTGGTCGGAAATGAGTTTGGCTGTGCAAGGGTGCAATTCGGCCAGGATGGATTCGCGATCGGCCTGCTCACAGTGCTCCAGCATACGCTGAATAACACGGCATCCGTATGGGTGAGCAGACAATTTCTCGACCTGACCCTTGAAGGCATTGATGATGAACTGCACATATTCGGATGGAACTCGCTCAATGGCCTTTTGAATCACATGGTTGCCGTTCTGATCTCGCACACACTTGAGAACACTGGATTCAAGCTCTTTGACCATGGAGGCTTGCTGATCTGTCAAGATGTGTTCAAGGGCCTATGGAAGGATGCATTAGCAACAAAAATTTAAATAACAGACACCGAAAGCTTACCTTTTGCACCACACGGCACCCATACATTTGGGTGGAAAGAGAAAGAATATGCCCCTTCATTTGATTGGCAAGGATTTTCTTCTGGGTCTGATTGCCGTGTTCGAAAAGCTTTTGCACCACGTAATTTCCAAAAACATCCGTCATCAGCTGCAAGCTGTTCGACTGGATTTCCCGGAAAACTTGCTCCTTCTCGTCACTATTTGCAGTCTCGAGTTTCTGCTGTATGAATCGTGACCCGTGCTGATCACCGCTGAATTCAACTATATGACCGTATATATCCTGGAACTGGTCAGCAAGGATGTCATCGTGCAAGGTCAAGGGAAACACACCTTCAGCTCATAGCGTTTGTTCCCCTTACTGTTGGCCCTGAAATCTTCCAGGACAGGGCTCCGGACAACCTGCGCAGAGAGGTCGTCACGTTGTCCCCTCTGAAGGAGAGCGGCTGCACCAAGGTGGGCGGCAGGGTGGTATAACCCAGACATGCCATTCACTCGCTGGACTGCCGGATACCCGTTCATATTGAGTTCGTAGCCGGGACTGAAGTTCGCACGCTGAAGAGAGTTTGCGGATTGCTGAGCAAGCTCGTGATCAGCGCGCATTCTGTTCAAGACTGCAGCCGCATTCTCGGGCAGCTGGCTTGCGGATGAGTTCCGGTAATGGGCGCCGTTGTCGTGTCCGTAGAATGGGCTCTCCATCCGATTGAACTCAACGGGTGACAAAGAATGACCCTCCGCGACACGGGACCTGACGGTTTGATAAGCAAGTGGCAAGTCTGCAGTCACGTTCTCATTTCCGTAGTTGGTGACAATCTGATAGTTCATATCATCGCTGGTGCTTTGATAGTTAAGTCGCTGGACAGCATTGTCGTATGATTGATGAGAGATAAAGCCCGGACGACCGCCAGACTGCGCAGCGATGCTACTGTCATTGAGCTGTAGCTTGCCTAATCCTGCACTGATGTCGACTGATCCCGATCGGCCTTCATATCCCTGAGACTCGGAGTGGAATGATGGGTAGGAAGAGTGTGGCGGTCTCGGCGGCGCGAAAGACGCAGAATTGTGCGAGACATGCGCATAGGAGTTGCGACTGACGTGCTGGGGCATGAAATCAGGCAGAGCTTGAGGAATACCTTGCATGGCCATTGACGAGGGTACTTCCTCCGCTCTATTGCTCTCAAGGTTGGGATATCCAGGCTTCATTGGGAAGCTCGAGCCCACAGGGCTACTGGTAAATGTAGCGGTGTTGACGTGCCTTCTACCATCATTATTGCGAAACCCTCCGAAGTTTGCGAGCGAAATACCCTCACTGGAGGGAGATATGCCTTCAGTTCTTCCATTCAAGTAAGGCTGGTGAGCCGCGCCGCCGGAAGAGCCGCTAACCGTCGACTTTGGAAGGGCAAAATATGAGGATGCTTCGGCTGCTTCAGATAGAGCGGCGGCGCTGCGATCATTGGTCCGGGTCTGAACAGGTGACGTCGTCATGCCGCTATTCGGACCCCTCGACAGTGCGCTGCTAGGTGTATTGATCGTACCCCATGGAAGGTTGGGCCGGGTGTTCCAGCCGTCGGACTCAGATGTCGATGTCGACAACAAGGAGCTTGAACCAGCCTTGCCCTCAAAAGCATTATCCGTGTTGTGTTGATCTGAGCACATACAATCAGTACAGCACGGCTTCCTCGGCGGGTTCATCTATCACTTACCATCGAATGTTCGTCCCCAAATGTTATTGTTGTTCCAACTTCCGTTGCTGCTTCCAAAGCCTTTGCCCATGCTTGCGTGAGAGGTTCGTGACCTGTCACTGACCACATTTGCTGAATTCATATTGGACCCTCTGTTCGACCGTCCCTATGATTGTAGTTAGCCACACTGTCCCACTCGCCACATCCTTATTTTCCACCTACATTGTGACCTGTGTTCGCGTTGTTGGACGTCATAGTGGGCATTCCACCATAAGACTTTCGCTATCCAGTATAACCGACTGTATGAATATATCTTCGCACAAAGACGCTGGTTTGCTGCTTCTGCGTATCTGGAACCTCCGAGGGAAACGGTCAATGCCACGGTCGAGATCGATAGGTATGGGTATAACCGGCCGAGTAGGATGAACAAGGGCACGAGCTCTGTAACAGATAGCGGACTGCACGAGAATTAGCCATATGATCGCTCCGCGCTCATGAGACTGTGTGAGAACTGAGGATCAACTCACAAGAGAGGCAGGAAGAAGCGGGACGAGGAAGAGAAGGGATGGGGACAGAGAAGAGGAGACAGGTTCCACGGAAGAATAGGAATATGTTCTTTGTCCAGAATAGACACGGTCAAGCAATGCAAGAATTACACAGGGGTCTCGAAGGGATGGGGTACGGAAGGGAGGAAGAGCGTGGCAGGCGAAAAATGCTTAACACACGAAGGAGGTAGGCCCGACGAAGAAGAAACGCAAGGCGACCGGAGCTTCTTCGTTTGCCAGCGCGATGCTCCGCACGCAGCAGTAGATCAAAAATCGCCCAAAGGTATTGCGATGTGACTATGCTCCGTGCATGCTCCAGAAACCTCGAACTTCGCAGATCGTCCTCATGTGCTCTCCAGAGAAGAGAGGGATGGCCGACACGGGTCCAGTTTTAATCAGACAAATGTTAGGAGCTCGGATGATTCGCAGCGGCAAGGGGTGTGGGGAGGGGCGAAGGGTTGGAGGAGATTGCAGTTGGTATGGAAGGAGAATGTGCTTGTTGCGCAAGACGGCGTGATTTAGTGGAGTGTCGAACGATGGGAATGTGGACGAGAGACGAAGCACGGCATTAATGTAATTCAGTTGTGACACAAGGCGAAAGCAAGCATGACACCCGAACTGGTCCCAAAGCAGATCAGTATTTTATCGCACCTCTCGTTTTATTTAGACTTTCGCTGAGAGGATGAAACTGGGGAAATCGGTCGGAATTTATATGGAGGGGGGATTTTTTCTCAAGAGAAAAAAAAAATAATAATAAAGATAAAATAGTATGGGCGGAAAACAGTGACCGAGAAGAGAGAAGGAGAGAGGGATGAGAGAATCACGTAAAGTGAGAGAGTAGGTTGAGAGTTGAAGGTCGGAATGATTTCAGAGTAGGGAAAAGAAAAGGTTATTTTAATAATAAAAAAAAATTGAACGTGAAAAAAACGAACTGGGTTGACCCGCGACAAGTGAAAGTCGGTAGCACAAAAGAGGCACCAAAGACGACCCCGTCAAGAAAAGAAGAAGAAAAAATGGCAACGTGTAAAGGGAGGGAGAGTGAGGGAGAGATTGAGAGAGAGAGAGAGGAGAGAATTGATAAATGAAAACGAAAAGGGAGGAGAGTAAAGCAAAAGGAAGGGTCTTACTCAGTCTGCAGCGGCGGCCAGGATGGGGAGAAGAGGAATTGATTGATTGATTGATTGATTGATTATGGAGGAGGAGGGAGGAGGAGTTGGATGGATAGAGAATGATACGTAGATAAGCAAGCAGTACAGAGAGTAGCTAGACTGAACAAGCCAGACAAGCAACTTAAGTTAAGCTGGAAAAGAAGATGCTGGCGTGTCTTGCGACAAGAATTATTGGGACCAGTTGGTGGCCGCTGATGGTCAGAATTACAGGATAGTTACAGGAGACTGACAAAATGACAATACCCGAACAGACGATCTTGTCGATCCTCGTAGTGTACTTGAGGAGTTGAGTACTTGAGCAATGTATGGGTGGCGCACTGGGCTCGCAGGTACCGGGCCCTCTTCAGCCCTCCCTCCGCCTTCCCGTTCCCTCTGGGCGCCTGTCCATCCATCCACATCCACAATTGTTCCGTCCGATACGGTTCGTTCCAGTTCCAGTTCCAGTCCAAGTTCCAAATGGTTTTAAACTGGCGCTGATTCTGGGGCCGCCCAAATTCGCTCCCGCCGCTTCTTTTTTAGGCTTCCATCTAAGGCGACCGGCCCCTCAATCCCTGAGTCTGGGCGTATCGCTATGAGTATCCCTGATAAACCCCCTACTAGTAAGGTTATCATTCACACATAGGCATTCATGTTCATACTCTAACTGCCATCAACAATGATCTTCCCCACCTCCAAAAAACCCCCGGACTTCCTTCCACCCCGTCAATCTTGCCTATCCTTTTGACTCACAGTATTCCTGAGGGATATACCTAGCCCCGCGTACTGAACCCTCCCCTGGATTGGGTTAATGAGGGTTGCACAAACCAAGTTGAAGGGAGAAGGTCTAACCAAGGACAGCAGCATAATAGGCTGACCGCCACCGTCAGAACTCACCCCCTCCCCCATAACCATCCGTCATCGCCCACCATCATTGTCTGTCTTGACGTGGTTGACATTTCGGCTACGGTTGCGTAATGGATTTGTCTTCTTCCCCCTCCCGTATCATTTCTGGTGGCAGAACGGTATAGAAGCACGATCGACTGCGAGAGAGATCCCGTGGGCTGAGGGGGGCTTACGACGAACGTCGGAGAAGGTGTCATTTGGTCTATCGGACAGCAGTTCCTGGCCTACACCTCCGATCGTGAATTTCTGGTCCCTTGTCTTGGCTTGAGCTGGACAGGCTAGCCAGGCCGATGCTCGAGTGCCATCCCGCTCGGCAATGTTATCTGTATATGTAAAAAAAAAATAAAATAAAATAAAATAAAAAAAAACCTATATACACCATGTGCCTCGATGAATTTTTCGAAACATTGATCATGAGTATGATAATGATAATGATGAGAGGGGTTGGTTGATTCTAAGGAAGATTGGCAGTCCACATAAAGGTTAAGATGCGCTCCAGCCCGATCGATCGGATCCACTAAACTAGCTTGGATTTTTTTCTTGTTCAAATCAGAGTTTATTATTCTCGGGCCACCTTTTGGACCCTTCGACAATGAATTCATGATGCCTTGATATTCCGGGCCGAGTCGTTCCTGCGGCCATTGTTCCATCCCTGTGATCAACACTCATCCCTCCATCCATCCACTTCCACCAAGTACTAATCAGTAGTCAGTTGATTCCTGGCAAATCTGAATATTGAAAGAGGGGCAATTGTTCTTATCAAGAAGCACCATCAATACTCAAATCTTGTGAAAGGTCTGATTCGCCCTCATTTACATGTGGGAGTTGGATGCAATGGTCAACGGCGTTCGAATAACCATGGAACCACCAACCACCTCTCATCACGTCGCAGAGGCTATCCTGTATGCTGCTCGCTGGCCTTGATCCCTCAACCGACCAACAACATCCGCAGCAGTGAGGAGAAGACCACCGTCTAATGCAGCTATTTAATCTAATCGCCCTCCCCCTTCCCTAATGCATACCTACTAGCCCTGCGACTCGATTGCTAGGCACTTTTCAGCGTTCCTGTCAGGAAACAACAGCAGCAGCAGCAGCAGCAGCAGCAGCAGCAGCAACAGCAGCAATAAACAATAACAATAATGATAACAATAAATCCCCACGTTAACCCTATCTGTCCCCACGCTTTCCTCCAGCCGGTGCGACGCATGTAGCTGCCAGCCGTGCATACATACGGACATACATCAGCTTATCTGGTTGACTGTTCCCCACTATCCTCCATTGAATCCAGAGGCACGCATGAAATCGCCCCTTGCATCCCAAACAGTAACATTGGATTTAGGTTTCATCCGCCCTGCCGTTCTGACGGCCGAGGAACCAAAGAAACCCAAAGACACTCAACGGGAGGAGGGGACCGGACCTACGTACTTGGTTCTTTGTGGTCGGGCTGTAGTTCCTCTCCATCGTCATGGCTGCTGTATCGGAGTAGTTCATGGCACGTTAGGTAGCATGTGGATGTTCGTATGCCGTGTAAGCTCTGTAAGTAGCCTTAATTTTCTCAAAGCTGCTTCGGGGGAATTCATTTCGTTTACGAGGCAAGGCTAAACAAAAACACAACACACGACTTCCCTCAAGTTCGAAAAACAAACAACTCGCCTCCCCCAAGCACAGCACAACCCCGATTCACCTTGCATGCGTGCAAATCTCCCACCCTCACCCCCCAGCTTCAAACTCGCCTTATCAACAAAGCCCACACTGGATACAATACAGCCCCCCCACTAAATGCAAGTGACTGAAAGAGAGGGGGGAGGGGGGGTTGTACTCAGTATTGAGCGAGAAACTCAACCCAAAGGAGCGGCGATTACTTCCACCCCATTCCTCCCACCCCTACGTATGTAACCCAGCAATTCACCAACAGTGGACCACCACTGGCTGTAACACGCCTCATAGATTGTAGATCCATGCCATGGGCACGCATGCCGTGGGGGGCGGAGGGGGAGGGGGACACCAACACTCTCGCAAGCCTGGGGGAAGAACATGGGTCGAGGCTTGACGACTTATCACACGGGCTCTCCACTCCCACGGCCCCAGAAAGAAAAAGAAACCTAGAAGACTTCGAAGCTATCGTTAGCGTTCCCAACTTCTAGTGAGACATATGATCAATTCACTTGCCGTGTGCAATGTATATGCTCTGGCGTAGCCTGCGAAATATGTGCTCACTGCCCGCTAGGTGGAAGGATCCCTTCTCCGATGACTCGGGGGTCCAGTCATTGTCTTAGCTTTGTGTCGAAGAATTCGTTCGTTCAATCACCTGGTTTGGGAATATCCATCATACGGATGATAGTTTTATGTCATATACTCGTTGTGCTGAGTGGTTCAGATATCCGACTTCTTCCGCGATCGACTCATGCATATGAGCTCATTTTCGAACCGTCACACTTGTGACTTGGAAATCTATACCGTGGTCCGACTACATGGAGAGAGTGTCGAAACACGGTAGTGATAGAAAGACGGCACGGGTTTGTCTTCCGGCTGCAGCCCATTGTGACTTATTCTCTATGCCGCTCTATCCCAAACTTGAGGTGAGGGGCTTGAATGTTGTGATGTCTGCCAGAAGGTCAGACTCGTCTTGGACACAGCGAGCAGAACATCACCTCGCAGGCCCTCCGTGCCTAAGGCCTCAGGAGACGTCATGTTGTCAAGGTGAAGGAGAACTGCCAGAACATGATGTCATCTGACTTATGAATCATCGTGGGTGACGAAGAGATAGTCATATACGTCGATCGAGTTTATTATCTCTTTCTGCCGGAGATACCAAAAGCATATATTGTGGTAAGAGGCTATGAGACACTAATCAACAGATTTCGCTCATGAGCTGTCACTCTGGAGCTTATCATTGACCGTATGCGAGGTGAAGGTCATTGTATATACTAGCCGCCGCTTCTTTTGCTACCCGATATATCCATGATCTGGTAAAACTTCGTATCCTAATACTCCAAGGACTATGTTGTAGGATTCCTCTTCTCACCTAGTATGCATATGCACACGTATGAATGAGTCGAGAACCGGACAAACCCGAACTCTCGCTTCTGCCCATTGCAGGCAGGGTCTATGTAGCTGCTAATGAGCTATGCATGAGGCACGCGACAGATGAAGCTGGATCACAGGTATTAAAGGCTGTGAGACGATATCGCCCATCTAGTATCAGCCATTTTGAGGTCCATCTTGTGCAGCATGTATCTATATTATGAGATCACAGCCTTCATATCAGGCACTTTCTTCAGCTTGAGTACATGCCATCGAGACCGGTATCATTGAAACTACCCAGATATCTTCGTTCAAATCTGACTCCGCCAACATCATACAGCTGCAGCACATGCTGATCGAAGCAATGACAGTCACTCCACTCGATGTCAAACCCCCTAGGCCAGCCGCGACACCTTATATCCAGGACCAACCGCCGAGAAGCCTTGGACATTCCTCGAGCGGCGTATAGGCGCAATCGCCTCTTCCGCCTCATCGACCCCAAGCCTTGCGCGCATCCGTCGCTCGTATCCTCGGCCGTCTCCGTCTAAGTCAAAACTCTCACGCCTCCTCCAACGCGAGCGCGATCGTTCCACTATCGGTACAGGCGGAGGGCTCCAGCGCCTCGGCCGTGATCTGACCTCGGGGCTCTCGACATCCCTCGTCCGGAGCAGTTTCTCGCACAAGAGGGCGAAATCCCCGTAGCTGGATGCATCCGCGATGTCCGCCCAGTCGCGGATGTTGCTTTCGCTCGCGCCTGCTTCCATGATAAGAGCTCGCTTCCTATGCTCCTTGATCGACCGGGTGACTCTCTGTTCCAACCTTCTCGCGTCCTCGACCATGCCAGCCGCCCGCTCCGCAACGCCTAGTATCAGTTTCAGCTTCATCGCTTGCTCGAGGGACATGATCTCCGTCAGCGGGGGGATCAAGTACAGGGCCCCCTTTTTGGCTGTCACCGTGCGTGGGATGCCGAACGAGAAGAAATGGCTGGCCCTCGCGGACAGCGATGCACGCAGCTCAAACTCGGCGTCACATTGGACCACCAGGAGAAGGCGGACAATCTCTGGTAGTCCGCTCTTGCTTCCTGGCTCCTCATATAACCGCCAGGAGGCGTGCATCCGGTCCTTGACTGCCCCGTGGATTATCCGGACCCCTTTGAAGGTGGACTTTCTGCCCTTGGAACCTTCCATACTGATGTTGACACTGGACGGTCCGCCGTTGCCGTTCGCCCCAACTGTAAATTTCTGTCCCGTGGTGATCTCCTGCTCCGACACTTCGACCCGATCAGCCTGCGGCATGATGGTGCGGATATTGGGCAACGCTTTCTGGTCGGTTGCATGAAGGGCCACGTCGACTTCTGCATACCGAATGCGATGTTTCAAGGAATGGGGCTTCATGAAGTTGAGTTTGAGCTGGATCGCATGCATCTCCTGGCCCTCGTGAGATGATGAGTGGATTGACTCCATTTTGGCGTCGCAGTAGATATCATGACCGTCGTACTTGGCCAAGATAAAGCCGTCGCCATTATCCCGACGGACGCCATCCCAGTGATTCTGCCCCAGCATTTTCCTCGCAGCGTCTATCTCAGCACCTACCGCCATGTCGTCAGTCGGTTCCAATCCAACGTGACCTGGCTCGCTTCCCGTCTCTTTCGTCCTCAGTCGCGGCATCTCGTGGCTAGACACGCTTTCTACTTCGACCTTCTTCGCCTCCAAGATGCTATTTGTCGATCCCATGACACGCACTCTGCCCGGAGGGGAGACTGAACGCGATCGCACTTTTGAAGGTTTCTTGGTATCAACCTTCGCTTCGTAGTGCCGCAATAGGCGCACTATACTCGCCGACTGTCCTGTGCTAGAGGCTAGTTGCAGAGCCGTCAGCCCATCGGAGTTCTTGACATGAACACTAGCCTCATGTTCAAGCAAAAGCCACATCACTTGCTTGAACCCACCGAGGCAGGCGAGATGGAGCGCCGTGTTTCCATCCGCATCTTTTGCCTCAACGTCCACCTCAGGCCGAAGCAGCGCCCGCAATGGTCTGGTCCACCCCGCTTTGGCAGCATAATGCAGCGGCGCCCTCCCCTCAGGGTCCACGGCATTAACATTGGCTCCGTGATGAAGCAGCGTATTCAGCATCTCGGATTGATGGCGAGCCAGTGCAAGATGTAACGGCGTGCGGCTGGAATTATCCCGAGGATCCGCCTGAGCTCCGAACTGGAAGAGCAGGTCGACCATACCTTCACGTTCCTGGATGCAGGCATGGTGCAGCGCTGTTCTTCCCTTGTCGTCCGCGACATTGACATCAGCACCCGCCTCCAGAAGGCGTTTTGCGATGCTGTAGTTCGGATGGCTGATGGCCAGAAGCAGCGGCGTCATACCCTCGCTGCCGATGCGGTTAACATCTGCGCCTTGATCGATCAAGAATCGCACAAAATAATCCGAATGCTTCATAACAGCGATGTGGAGCGCGGTATCTCCATTCAAGTCCGGAAGGTCGATCGCCGCTCCTTTGCGGAGTAGCACCTTCGCCGCTTCATAGTTGTCCTCGTAAGCCGCTTCATGGAGAGTCTTTGGTTTGTTTATCCCTTCGATTTCGGGGTCACTGTCAGTATACACATATATGTCGCTGTTTGAGTCGATCGTATCACGGTCGATCCTTCGCCATGTCGACGGCCTCTGCCTGCTGTGCTCAGAACTGTTTCTCGAGCTAGAACCCATCGGTCGATAGGGCTTCTCTGCTATTGCCTGAGGAATCTCAACCTTATTGAGAAATATATTGCCGCCTGGGTGGGCAGAAGTTCTCAGCCGAGCTGCTGTAGGGGGCAGCGCAAGGCTGAGAATCTCCGATGAGACCAAGCAGGCATCCGTTAGGCTGAGGACTTGGCTTTGCAATGGGATTGGCAGTGCTGCCTTCTACTCGTACTAGTAGTAGTCAGGGCAATCAGCCTATTGAATGAGAGTTCGATTAGATAAGCGTGCTTGGTGAGCCTAGTGAATTTGGTGACTCGGCATGACTCAAACTCGCATGGATGGTGATATACTTGGTAAGAATAGTTGCGGTAGTCGGGTATTTCTTCCTGAGAAGGATCTACATAATCAAGATTAAGGCCTCTCCGCCCAATTGATAGCAGTAATGATCCCTTGATGTGAGTATGCCTGTTGTGGCCAACCCGGGAATCTACTTTTATCGGAAAGTTTTTTGATAAGATAAGTGGTGACACGTGACTGCTCCACCGATCGGAGTCACTCAACTTTTTTTTCTGCCTCGTCCTTCCACCCCTCTTGCGGCATCGTTCACGTCTGTCGTCACCACAAATTTCTACGGTCGGTCGCTGCAAAGATGAAGTACGTTCTGGTCTCTGGAGGTAAGTTGGAACTCATTGCCCCTCGGTCCTCTTGTCTCCAAATCCGTTTGCTAATGGGAACCTCCTCAATTCAGGTGTCATTTCCGGCGTGGGCAAGGGCATTATTGCCTCCAGCACCGGTCTGCTCCTCAAAACTACGGGTCTTACGGTTACCAGTATCAAGATCGACCCTTACATCAACATCGATGCGGGCACTATGGCACCTACCGAGTCAGTATCTTGAGATCCGGCTTTCTGGTGCTGACCCCGTTTATTGACATCCCCCAGACACGGTGAGGTCTATGTCACTGATGACGGCGGTGAAATGGACCTTGACCTTGGCAACTACGAGCGCTACCTGCTCACGTCGCTCACTCGGGACCACAACATCACCACGGGCAAGGTGTACCAGGATGTCATCAACCGCGAGCGGATCGGCCACTACTTAGGCAAGACCGTCCAGGTCGTGCCCCACATCACCGACGCCATCCAGGAGTGGATTGAGCGCGTCGCCCGGATCCCCGTGGACGAGTCCCGCGCCGAGCCGGATGTCTGCATCATCGAGCTGGGTGGTACCGTCGGAGACATTGAGAGCGCTCCCTTCATCCACGCGCTGAGCCAGCTGCAGCGCAAGGCTGGCAAGGGCAACTTTGTCCAGATCCACGTCTCGTACGTGCCGGTCATCCCCCCCGGACCCGGCGGTGAGCAGAAGACGAAACCCACACAGAGAGCCATCAGCGATGTGCGGAGTGCCGGTCTCAGCCCGGACCTGATCGCCTGTCGCTGCGAGCAGCCCCTCGAAGCGAGCACGATCCAGAAGATCGCCAACATGTGCTCGGTGGAGCAACACCAGGTCATCGCTGTGCACAACGTGACGACGACGTATCACGTCCCCCTTCTGCTGGAGAAGCAGAAGCTCATCAACACAATCACCCAGATGCTCGATCTCACGCCCATCCAACCCACCCCCGAGCGGATCGAGCGCGGCAGCCGCATGTGGAAGGACTGGGTCGACCTCGCCCAGGGACAGGACTTCCTGCACGATCCGGTGACCATTGCCCTGGTTGGCAAGTACACCTCTCTCCACGACGCCTACATCAGTGTGTCCAAGGCCCTCGAGCACGCCGCCATGTTCTGCCACAAGAAGGTCAAGATCATCTGGGTGGACTCGTCGCACCTGGAGGACGGAACCGCCCCCGCCGACTACCACAAGGCGTGGCACTCCGTCTGCACCGCGGACGGTGTACTGGTCCCCGGTGGCTTCGGCAACCGCGGTACGGAGGGTATGATGAAGGCCATCACGTGGGCACGGACCAACAAGAAGCCCTTCTTGGGCGTCTGTCTGGGTATGCAGCTGGCAGTGCTGGAGTACTGCCGCAACGTGGTGGGCATCGAGGACGTTGGCAGCGAGGAGCTGCACCCGGCGGCCGAGAACCACGCCATCGTCTACATGCCCGAGGTCGACAAGGGCAAGCTTGGCGGCACGATGCGTCTTGGCAAGCACCCCTGTATCTTCCAGGAGAATACCGAATGGTCCCGCCTGCGGGGCATGTACGGCCCCTCGGTCTCGCAGATTGAGGAGCGCCACCGCCACCGCTACGAGGTCAACCCGGCCATGATCGAGCAGATCGAGAAGGCCGGTCTCACCTTCATCGGCAAGGACACCAAGGGCGAGCGGATGGAGATTGTCGAAATCCAGGACCACCCCTGGTTCGTCGGCGTGCAGTTCCACCCGGAGTATCTGAGCCGTGTCTTGAGCCCCAGCCGGGCCTTCCTCGGTTTCTTCGCCGCCGCCGCCGGCTGCCTGGACGAGGTCTCCAAGGCCGTTGTCCAGGGCCAGCGTAGCGTGGCCCGCAAGCAATAGGTCACGGCGAACGGCGCTGGGGGTGCAGAACGTGTGGATTACGAATGGGGAAGAAGCGGTACGACTAGCCTTGCGGGAGTTCCATTGGGAGGGATTCTGATGATGGCAATCATAACTTACTTTGCTTTCTGGGCGTTGTGAAAATATAAATTCGGTAGTTAGAAGGCAGTCTGTGTGTCTGTGTCGAATGCAATTTGTGATTTATGAGTCGCTCTTTTTTGTTGTACTTATTGATGTCGAGGAGCTGCTGTCTTGTCTCCTGATACGATTGAATAGACTTCACCTTGTGTCGCAGCGAATGCACTTGTGGTATCCATCTAGAAGCCCGCGCATCTCGTGTATTGTCTTTTAGATCAACAACCCTGAACATTATAGTCAACGGCGAACCCCGAATGAAACGAGACAGCTCTCCAGCCTCGATTAGACTGGTTGCATGTGAGCCTGAGGAACCCGATGCGCATGTTTTGCTATTCTGCAAGATCAATCAAGATCGTCGCGCATTTCCGATCGCGATTAAGAAATGTGGGGACATGGTTACTGGGTGAACCCAGCATATCTCGGAGGTTTAGTCAGTAGTATGAGCAACAGCGTGAGCAGGAATTAATGACGCATGGTGGTAAGAATGCGAGATAAACAGCATCCCGCATAATCAATGCTCGTGGACTTTCTGCCTCGGAGGGAGGAGGGAGTATAACCATTTTGTCTCTGTGCCAGATGCGAAAAGAGAGACAAGCCGTGTTACCTATATATATCTTAAACTGCCCATTGTAATTTCCGCAGGTGTGGGTGTAGTCCATGTGTGGGTGTGGGTGTGGGAACACAGACGGTGTGGAGAGTAAGTTCCTTTAGGCGATCCCCTTAGGGAGTATGGTTACTATATATATATATATATCCACGCGGACTTGGAGCCGTAGTGTTGTCTTGTGGAAGTATCACATCAAATGCGAACCCCCCCCAGCAAACAAATATCGGCTGTCATATGTCGAGGGCATGGAAATCCAACAACTAGTCGTGAGATATTTCCCTTTTCCCCGCAACCAACTCACTTGTGTCTGGATGCTGGTGGATGTGGCTGCTGTCAGGGCCGGGTTTGGTGCCGGTGACAACGGGGGCTCTCCAGACCTTCCAGACAGTCGTTGTGTTTCACCAGTGAGGGTGACAGATGGAGACTGCAAGTCTGACAGGTGGTTCTGATGTCACATGCGCTTTTTCTTTCGGGTTGCTGGGTGGTTAGGCTAGCACTGCTGCGTGTTTAGATTGTACACACGGACAGAGACAACAATCGATTGTGTACGGAGTACTCGAAAAGAAAAAAAAGCTCAAACTTTGACCCATGATGTAAGAATTGAAAAAACGTCTTTGTTTTTGTTGTGGTGGGCGCGAGTGGATCATCAGGTACGGGGCATTTTCCTGCTCCAGTTGGTATCCGGAGTTTCCGACATGTCTTGAAGAATGTCTCACTCACTTGCAATACGGTGGTGTGGATGGCGAATGTAAACGCAGAGATGCTGTTCATGCATGATGTGGTGACTTGTTCTTTTCGGTTGCTTTTCTCACTTGTTCGTTGGTTGTGGAGGTGGTCTTACCTGATAGTCTTGGAAGTTGGGAAGTTGAGTCTAAGAAGATGGTTCAGGGGGGGCGAGCTAAAAAAAGGCCAACGTGAAGTGGTTCAGGGACACTCGAGGTCCGATAGGCGGAGACAGTGAAATTACCAGTTGACCAGCAAACTTACTCGATGGTCAGTTGGACTGAACAGGCTAGTCGCTCAATAGTCGCCCTTGCTTTTCCCGACCGAGCGACAGTCTGGACTTGTTCGGAGGAGACTAAGTTGTGCCTAAGCGCCCTTGCGCCTCGTTCCTGCTGCCGTCCAGCCCAGTTCACATTGACAGACTCCCACTCCCTCTTCATTCAAACCCTTTCTTCCCCAATCCCACTCACTCTCTCTTTTCTGGTTTCCCTTCCTTTCCCCGTTCTTGTTGCTATTCTTCATTCCCCCAGCGACAACTCCCCCCCAAAATCCCCCATAC